ATCGATCGATCCGCGACGAAGGATATCGCGGTGCGCGCCAAATTGCGTCCGCCGCCGCACATCCTGTGCCACGAGTGTCGAGGCCACGGGGTGACGCTCGAGGAAGCGGGCGGAAAAGAAGCCCGAGAAATTTTCGGGTTTCTCGTAGAAGAACGGGTTTTGGTCGGGCATGGGTTTCGTTTACGTTGCCATAGGCACCGGCAACGTACGCTCGATTACAATGGTGGATACGTCGGTGTCCCGTTCCGTAAGGGCACACCACAATGAAGCGTAACCTAAGCCCCGACACGACGTAGATGGACCGTGTCTTCGTTCCGTTCACGGTGTAGAATTACCCGGTCTGCGCCGCCCCGGGAGATTTTCGCCCGTATTCAGATCTCGAGAGCTTCCCAGCGGCGAAAGAAATTTGATGTGTCGCCGTTCCTCTCCCTCGCGGGAATTTGATCGCCGAAATACGTCAAGCCGATAAGAGTCTCTTGCCGCTAATGGAATAGCGACGTTCGCTCTCCTTCGGCATGTATGCGGCGCCACGATAAGGAGCGCTGCCAAACGACATGAATGAAAAACGACACGGTGCTCCGGCCAATACAGGCGACTCGTGTCTCCCGCGAGATTTAAGGGACGATACAATTTCCGCTCAACAATCGGCCGCCCTGGACGTGGACGTTATTGCGTCAAGGAGCTGGCCGGGACAGCGCCTCGAGACAGTATCGAGACGCTTCGCGGCCGGGTCGTTCGTTGCCAAACGGAAGACGATCGTCCGTCGTGAGAGTGAAGAGAAGAATCAAATTCACTATCGAATGCCGTATTCACGAAGCGGCGTGACATGAGATGCCATTCCCAGGGCGGGAATGAAGGACACGCGCGACACACGCGTCTCCCCTAATTTCGCGCTTCCGAGGTTCGCGCTCGAAAGTGGAGTTCTGGGTTAATTCGCTTTCGCGCACTTATATCGTTCAGTGCGCGCGACGGTACAAGCGGGATTCAATAATACCCCCGACTCTCGTGTGTGTGACAAATCGTGCGTTACGGACCCTCGCAGCCGACGCGGATGATTTCAATCAATTAGGGACGCTCGTTCGCCTAAATCAATTATCCACTCCCCACCCTGCGCGGCGGGGCATAATTTATAGGATTATTAGGCACTTACCAAACTGATTCCAACCTTAGCCGATCGATTTTCGGCCGCGATGGGGGATTAAAGACCGCTCGTTTCTGCGTTTCTCTCTCTCTCTCTCTCTCTCTCTGCGAATTCGCCGGTAGTCGCTTAAATAAGACCTACCTGGAGTCGTACAGTAACGACACTGATTTCTGATCTTTTCCCGCCGACTCGCTTCACTATGATGCGATAACCACGCTCTACGTGTATTATTACGCATGATTGCCTGCTGCTTTTTCAATATTTTTACAGATGTTTCTGGATAATAAAATTCTCGGCAAGATAGTGGAGAACGTTCGGCTCGCGCGAACTGCTCGGCTTGGGTTTCTACGGTGGGCAGATTAAATAAATATTTTCTTCGACTATCGGCGCGTGATGATGAGACGCTAAGGAGACGATACCCTCGCCGACGATCGTCCTCGGGATCGTGCTTGAGAAATATCGCTCGAGCCGACGGAGCGCGCTCGAGTGTCCTCGGTTTTATTTCGAACACACGCGTTGTCCTTATTACAAGAGTCGCGTTGATTGTGTACACTTGTATCTACAAATTGCGCGTTATTGGAGACGTGAATTTGATTACGGGTAAGCGGAGAAAGACATGTGTCTCTCGGATGGTCTGATAACACTTTTACTTGAGACGCGAGCGCGCGCGAGGAACGTCTCCTTCCGCGTCGTCGAACGCGGAACAAGCGAGTCGGGGGAACCAAGACGGAAAACAATGTTTCCGATAAATTACGTGTTGCGGCTCAAATATCTGCAGCGCGAAAGTTGGTGCATTAACGCTACGTAACGTGAATCATGCTGTGACTTCGTAGTAAACGTCGCATAAGCAGTCTCCTCGAACCGCTACTCGTAATAGGATTACTTTTTCAAGGAAAACGCCACTTCACGCGTCATTAATACTTCCCCTCCCGATGGCTGACTAATCATTCACCTGAGATCGCGCGTCCCGCCCGTGAGGTGACGGTATAGCAATAAATTCGTATCTAAAATTCAAGCGCAATTATCAGTGCGCTATAGCGAGTAACTTTGCCCGCTCGAAACAATTACGCAGTGCGCTGCAAGCGCGCAGTATGTGCAAATGTGGTCAGATAACAATATGCGGTTATTGGCGCGCAAACATTTACACGATAATACGTAACTATACACGGCACTGCGCGTGGAATTTTTGTTGAATAATAATATAGCACATTAATAGCGTAACTTGCTACACTTGTATCGCGCGATTAGGATATATTCACACTGAAATGAAAATTTATATATGACAGCAAAATAAACTAGTCATTCGATCAGATATAACCTCGAGGTTTAAGCTGATTATACATTAATTTACCGTACATACAAGAAAACAGAAAAAATTGTCCCATACTGGCATATGAATTTTCAACGCTGCAGCTTTGATTTGATATCGTTTAGCAAAATATTTTCATTTTCTGATCCTCTCTAGACTTGTACAGAATCCGTTAGGACACGTTATGCGGGCCTAGAAAAAATCAATTATTTTCAAGAGACTCAAAATGAATGTAACACATTTTGGTAACATAAATGTTGACGAATATTGTACAACTGTAGGTTTTTTTTTAGAAAGTTTCAAACATTCTTCAAATATCTCCTGAAATATTGGCAAGAGAAAGCACTTTTCCATCGTAAAATTACGCTTATTTTATCCAGAAATTTAGTTATTATCTCGCCTCGTAAATAAGAACACAACATAATGTGAAATTACTTATTTCGTGGCATGTTCTTTTAGCGTATTAATATATATAATACTACCATCACTATTTAAAATAACATAATATGTAATATAATTTTAGTAGTGTGATAGATATAATTGAAAGTTAACGTGTTGAACTTGTTTCAATACCGTTTATTTACGACTTATATAATTGCTATTGTAACCATACGGATGCTTATCACATTGTAAAGAAACAATCATGCGTTCCAACTTCAATTATTTCTCTTTTTTTATTCTTTGTTCATTTCGCTAATTTGCGAAATATATTATTTATTTCAGTGATTTGAAATTTGTTTGCAAAACCTCTCCGATGTTAACGTATAATTGCGTACGTAAAATTTTTCAACAAGTGCGAATATATTTGTTTCGCTTTACATGTAAAATGCGATATCGCCTGTATGCAGAAATTAATCACAGGACAGACACGAAAAAGTGCAAATACTTTGAGTAAACGATATTTTCAGCATTTATCGATGACGTTTACCGATGAATGATAAAATAACAATAAATGATGAGAATTTACGATTATTTGACTATGGGACGTCATAAAAATACATTTGTATCAACTTGTGGGGGGACTTGAAAAGATGATTTTTGGGTAAGAAATGTTGGTCTCAGATTAATGTACCGTATGTGCGCGTCTATGAAAACAGCAGAAAGACGGATTCGTTATGTTTGTGACATAGGCCAGTGGTCGGAATTATTTGCACTTCTGTAAAGTGATTTTCAAGGACTACGTCTACTTTGTTCCCCTTGCCTCTCCCGCTCGTCCTTTGAACCATGCAACTGACAGTTGTCACGCTCAGCCTCAGATCTGTCAACTTCATAGGATTTGCAAGACGCTCTATAATTTCTGAAAAGTTCTTATTGAAACTAGTCCTCAATGCGTGTTATTTTTATACGCTATCAACACAATTATACTGTTAAAATTACAACGATAGAACTGTAATTTCGATAAAAACTTTTCAATAACTAAGAAGCGCCTCACAGGTCTTATATAAATTTGTCGGACCTGAGGTCACGCGTTGCAACTGCCAATCGGCTCGACGGGGGAGTGAAAGAGAGGGAAAGGTAGAAAGTAGGTACTTGAAAATCACCTCAAAAGTGCAAGTAACTCCGACTACTGATATATATATTATAGTGTCTGGGCAACGACGTACAGTTCGTGTCGTTGCTTTCCGAAATTTTCCATACCGCCTTAAAATTGTTTCGACGTTATAAGTATATCCTAGCCGGGCAAGACTGTAATAGTACTTTTTCGACTCATGAATATTTATATTTTGGGGAAAAATTGGCAGCGTGTGTGATTCGTTCGCGAGTTGCCGTCATTTCCGCCGGAACACTGTAATTATAAATATTGCGCGAGCGATATCGGATAGCTGTTATTTCTAACTTATTCGGCTTTCTTTCGCATTAGCGATTCAGTCTGACGAACGAGACACTCACATACCATCGTAGACCGCGAAACAACTTATTCATCCGTCCAATATCCTCGTGATCAGTAGAAAAAGCCGCTTACGCGCGTGGCTAAGCGAAAGTGAGAGTAAGGCAATAATCCGAGAAGCAATAGATATCTCCGAGAATTGATGCCCGCGTGGATAATTGTGAAACGTCTAAACCGGTCGATGACGTTTCTGCACGATCTTTCCTCCGCAGAAATGTCCCCTCTTTTCACTACTTCACCTGCGTCTCGATAGAATTTCCACGCTGAGCTTCCGCCGCAAGGGCGCCCGAAGGGACACGGTCTCGACACGGTGTCCGGCAAATCCGAGAGGAAAGATCGATTCCGATTCGGTCCACGGAATTCGCGGATGGCGGCCGAGAGGCAGACGACGGCTGCTGGGCCACGGTAAACCCTGGGAGACATCCTGGATCTGGGTTAATTCGGAACGAGACGCATCATCCTGTGCCGCTCTCCGTCGTCCGCCGGATATCGATCGCGCCGCGCAGACGACGAGCCTCGGTAACGAACCGGAAACCGATCGTATGGCAGCCCGCGATCCAGGAAAGCGGCTGCACGTCAGACAGCCGCCACTAGAGCGGCCAGGTGGAAGGGCACCCGTCGCTGGAAACCGACACGGCGATCGCGGCGGCCAGGAAACCCGGATGACGAGGAGAGGAAGCGACGAAGCTATATCGCGCCTTGCTCCTTGGCAGTTGCGCGTGAACCATCGAGCGGTGCGGAGCGCTCTCGTTGGTGCCGACGTTGGTGATCCTGTTGGCCGGTCGGCCGCCGATGGTGCGACGTGTTGGCGCGGAATAAGAGGGACCAGCGGCGGCCACGAGTTCGCAAAGCGAAGTCCAGCATTCGTCGAGATCGCAGCTCACGGTATTGATTGATCGGCTCTTTAATTGCGGGGCAAAATCGACGTAGCTTTCGAATTGTCGTGCTGCCGAGACGCACAGAATAGTGACGTCGCGTCTCGCCGGTATCGCGCATGTGAATCTACCTGTAGCATCGTCGTCGAGTTATCGCGAGATTAAGATACACGTAGGCGAGGAGGAAAGAAAAGAGGCTGTGCGCGGACGAAAGCGGGGTGTCTGGAGGAAGGCGACCCGGCGAAGTTCGTCCTGCCGGCCGTTCTCGCGACCGGTTTCGCTCAGCCGATTGTTGTTGTTGTCCCCGCGCTCGAAGTGCGTTCGAAGTTGTCGAGGAGAAAATTCGCATCCCGGGTTATCATCAGACGCGCCAACGTGGGCTTCTTCTGCGCTCGGCTCCTTCGGGCGAGCGATCGACCTTGATCGCACACACGTTCCGCTATCGATTTATCGCGCTCCGGCAAATGTTCGTCGCGGAACATATCGCTCCATTGTGCCGTAGGCAAGGAAAAAAATCCGGTTTAACGCCGCGCGGTATTGCGTACGGATTAAACGTTCAGCGCGAGAGAGTCGTGTTGATCGGCTCTTCTCCTCGGGAGATGAAGACGCGATGGAGAGAGCGCGGCTGTGTGACGTCCTTTATGGAAGCGCGTAAACAACATTCGCGGCACGATGTATCGAGGAACGGAGAGAGAAAATAACGGGATGCGACGCGTCGCCTCGGAGAAGAACGATAAGGAATTGGTTCGTCCCCCGCTCGTCCCGTCCGTCGAGAGCCTTTTCGTAATTTGCGCCGCTAATAGCGGCGGCCGCGTCTCCAGGAAATCTGCAATCATCTTACCTGTCCGGGGGAGTATGAACGCGGCGGATAAATCTTGTCATTACTGGCACGGGGCGTACGCTCTGATGATATCTCTCGTCGTCCCCGCTCGGGCCGAGATGCCGCGCCGAGGGAAATCGCGCGCAGGCTCCTCAAATATGTCCTACATTCTTTTTACGACGTGAAATCTGCACGGCCGATTATTTCGCGCGCGCGCTCGCTCGCCCGCAACGTGGAAGCGCAGGTACGACGAGATACCGCGCGACGACGAGCGCGAATAATTTACGGGCGGAGAGTAAATTGCGGGCGAACGCGGCGAACATGTGGACAGGTGTTTATCTTGACGATTCGCGGGCGCAAGTTTGTTTGTCGAGCCCCCCCTCGGTGCCTTTCAATTTAAGCGCAGGTGAAGAAATTAGTCAGCACGCGTGAGAACGTGGTTGACATCATCGTACCTGTGTATTCGTTGTATACCTGCGACGAGCCGGCCAGGCGCGCGGACTTTCCGCGTGTTCCGTCTCGACGATCGGACGACAATTTTTACGTTAGCTACTTATTGCTGTTGTTATTTATTATAATCGTTATTAATGTTATTTTTTATTACCATAGCAGAAGGTGTGCGAGAGAATTGTTTATATCCGAGGAATATTTGGTTAATTATAAAATAAAGAGAATACACGCGCGCACACACGAAATTTAATTGGTGCAAGAGTTTACATTTCTCATTACGGTCGACGATTCGTTCCGCCCTGTAATTAAACGTGAAACGTTTCTACATGCGATATAATGCCGGGCGTAGTTGGATAAATATCAACGCGAATCTCGTTTACGCGATCGCGTAAATAAATCCGGATTAATTCTTGCTGCGCATTTTCCCGGGGCGAAGGCGCATTCGCCCTTCATTTATAATTTCTGGCATAATGTCCGACGGGCGAGTCACACCGGGACGATTTATAGGGGAAAATTGTGCCAATTTCATTTCATTTGCCACCACCGACGGCTCGTATCATCAGAGCCGTCTTTTATTCAAGTTACGCCGTTGTCGTCTTGGTTAGTATGCGCAGTGTTGTGATTGTTGCGAGATTACTTTACGACAGATCGCCGGTGCAAGAACCTTACATCAATTCAGGCACGCCACTCGCGTTTCCTTGACACGCTCACTCGGAGCGTTCGGAACGTGAAATTACTTTCAATGATCGGTTACCTTCACCCGGTTTGCGTGGGACAAAAAGTTTTCTCGGTACGGCGAACTCGCAAAAATCCCCGTTGATTTTTGTCCCGGTGCGTTCGAGTACTGGTTTCCTCGATTTTGCCGGCAGTCACAGGCACTTCCTCGATCTCTCAAGACTCAAACGACACACGTACGTATTGGACGTCCGGTGAAAATACGTATTTTATCTCGGTCATAAATCTGAGACTTTATTTCTTTATCTATCCCGATTAATTCCTACGTACAGGTCGCATTTTATACGTAAAGCGAAACGAATGTACTCGCGCGCGCGCGCGCGCGCGCTTGTTGAAAAATTCCCCGTACGGAATTGCGCGTTAATATCGGAGGGACTCTCGCAAACGAATTTCCCAACGAAATCGCATCGTTGAATCGAATAATATATCTCGCAAATTAGCGAAATGGACAAAGGAAACACAGAGAACGAGAAAGAGTTGAAATTGGGACGGCGTAATCGTTACGCGTAATCGTTTCGTTGCGATGCGATAGGCAACTCGTGCCGCGTTACAGCAGCAATTACACGATAAGTCTGCGTAAACGGTGTCGGGCGAGTTCTAGTTCTTCGTATGAGGTACTAAGTGTCGTCTATATTAGAGTATTCTTCACGTCTATTTATTAACAATGTTCGCGATGACGATGATGGTTGCAGCTTTGTGCGCGTATATAAATTTGAAACGGGTTGAATCTTCTTATTACCATCACTTTCGCAGACACGTACATTACTACCCGACACCTTCGCGTCATTTATGTAAGCGTCGGTTGAAGCGTCGCGCGACCTTCTGCGGCGGCGTTTAGGTGAGTCGTCGTATGAGTAATGACGGGACACTGTTATACGCGACGCATACTTGCCGTCGTTACAAATAAATACACGAGAAGAAGTTTGTGTATACTTGGCATACAACATATCGCACATGATGTGCCTCGGAACCTCGGTTTTTGATTCCGGCGGTCGTTAAAATCAGAGGCGAGAGCAGATTCGGCGAAATCCTCCATCGGGAGAAAAAAAAATCCGGCCGACAGAAAACTACCACTGTTCACCGAATCCTATCGGTGCCCAATATTACGTACGATCGAGGCAAAAATCCCAAAAAGAAGCGAAAGCGACATTTAATCGATTTCCTCATTTAATTGCGCTCTAAGTCCCGATTGCAGTCACCGACGTGTCTAAAAAGCGATTGCAAAGCTAAATAATAGAAGCTAAAAAGTAATACAGTCGCAATAAGGACTGAATTTGTAGGGAAACGATGCGGTCTGATTGCGCACGAGAGCGGATAGTGAGAGAAACAACGTGAACCGATCGAAGTCGCACACGAGACCGGTCGTAATTAGCGTGTAATGAAGCTTCAGCCGAGTGACGAATGACACTGACGAGTGTCTTTCTCTCTTCAGGCTCGCGCATGATATGACCCAGTCTCGCGAGGTCCTGGCGATGATGGACGCGCACACGACCACGTTCGGACGCAAAAGGGGTTGCACGATTTCCCGGTGCGGCGCCTTCCTGTTGGGCGCATTCTTCCTCATCTGCCTGGTCGCCACCGGCCTGCTGGTGTACCACTTCGCGCCCTGCCTCGAGGAGAAGCAAGCGAAGCAATGCGACGAGACCTTGAGCCCGATCTTGATGAGCGCGAGGAAGTTCTCGGCGACGTCCGCGAAGAAAAAGGTGGACGTGAGATTGCCGCGAGCCGTCGTGCCCGATTCCTACGAGGTCTGGCTGATACCGTTCATATGGGAGGGCAACTTCACCTTCCACGGCGAGGTAAGCCTCAATTTTTCAATTCGCGTCCGCACAAACGCTTATCACGATTGTGTAGTACACTGTCTTGAGGAGAAAGTGATATTATGACCGCCCCTATTTATATTTTGTGTAATAACTTTGTTAATAATCAATAGTTTAAATTGAACTTAACGATTGCATTCGTCAAAGTGCCGTTCAATCGATTCTAGACTCAAAGTTATGAAATATTTATTATTTAGGACGTTATTTATAAAAATATGGCGACACTGCAAAATGAGTCGAAGAGAAATAGAGGTAATAGTGCGACTAAAATAGATTGAAAAATTTGTTTTGTTTAAAAAAATACGGTGTTTTGTTACAAATTTATATATATGTACGATATTATGTATCGGAATAATCTTCGTTATTATTGATGACCTTACATCGTTTATCAGGCAATTGTCGAATCAAGTTACTTGTCTCACTGCGCATTCACCAACAGCAAATCATTTTTATGGCTTCGCAGCAACATTTTTTGGCAGTTAAATTGCAAAAAGAATGCAGTGCCAAGTATATGCTTCATCGATAGCGATGCCATTTACTAAAGTTATATTTATTATTTTGTGATGTTACATGATGTTTTGTAAACATAGATAGCAGCTCCTTAAAACCACAATTGAGCAAACAAATATTAAATTTAAAACGCTTATTAGAAATGAGCAAAATAAAAGACACCAAATTAATTTACACACCTAAGAGTCGTTTCAATTTCGAATAAATTTATCTAATACACAGATATTTATTAGTATCTGATAGTATCTAAAGAACGTTCTCATATGGAATTAAACTGTGAGAATACAAAAAAGTTACTAATATACTATTGAAGAACATATATCAGTCATTTCTTCGAATTTTGATAGTTTATTTCCGCACGGGAACGCTCTTCAGATACTTATCCATTAGATAAATTTATCCGGAGGTGGGACAACCGGTTCTAATAGACAGATAGATCGTTTCATTAAAGACGAGTGATGATGGATGTTAATCTTTTCGTGTGAAATATCGCGCGTCGTTTCCGAATCGGTAAGCGCTAAGTGTCACCGAATAATATATCTTTACTTTTTATTCGACACTGCGAGATTTTCTCACGACTCGCGAAGTTGTATCACGACCGAACCGGTGCGAGCCGGTTCGGCCGTCGTTACCACCGTCGACTTTCTAGCGCGAATCGAAAGCGCCATGTTTTTCTACGTACTTAATTCCCAATTCGATACATGCGTACTGTTACAACGCCGTCACGAAAAGAGGCGCGCGCGTGCCGCGCTTGACGCAACCATTCACTTTCATATACATGCCGATACCATACGGGAGAGAACGGACCTAGGCGGATCACGTGCGCTCCGATCTCCTGACTTTCCGCCAAAGTTTCGTTTTCGTTCTTTTCACTTTCCTGCCAGCCACCTTCCCGTCCGGCCCGGTGATCTCTCGAATTTCGAGTGAGAGAGAATGCGTTTGACCTCAGGGCTGGATTCATATCGCGAATCAAATTGAGTTTCGCAGCTTTACGGCCACGTTTAGAGAACCCACTATGCGTATTTTTCATTAATTAGAGTGCCAATTAATATTCCGGGATGTAATCAGGCACCGGTGAGCTTAACGGCAGCTTCATGCGCGATTGAAAATATAATATTGATGAATTCATTCGGAAGAGAGGAGGAGGAGGAGAGAAAGAGAGAGAGAGAGAGAGAGAGAGAGAATGTATGTTAAACGCGTTATCACTTTGTCTTGCTGACAATATAATTATCTTATCCAGGTGAAAATTTGGGTAAACGTGACGAAGAATACGAACAACATCACGTTACATGCGGTCGATATGAACATCGATAGGGATTTTACGAATATCAAGGAGTACACGAGTGAGTACATGAGTGACAACAAGACTAAGGTAGTCGGGGTCGTAGAACAGAAAAATGACACCGAGCGACAATTCCACGTGATTAGAACGTCGGACACGTTGATGGTGGGCAAACAGTATGTGGTGCATCTCAAATTTGTCGGCCATCTGAACGATTACCTACAAGGTTTCTACAGGAGCTCGTACACCGTCGGCAATGAGACGAGGTAAACATATATCGGCATCGGCAGGCTTTTAGCAGTGGAGTTTTGCCCAGTTAAAATTTCAAGTTAGAATTAATTAACAGGCACGTGAATTTGGTCTATGATTAAAAATTAAAGATTCGCAACATAAAAGATGAGGAATTTGAGACTAAATTAGATTTGATTCAGAAGAGCGGCTGGTAGATCACTCACGCCGAATTCTATCATTTTTAATCGTCATTGTCGGATTTACCGTCGCGAAATATTTTCGTTAGAGGTGATTCGCGCGAGTGATTATCTTTCGGACGTTCTCTCGTTGCGGTTGCGTGTTTAGCTTGGGTACAGACTCAAACAAGGGCTCATCTCGGCTGTTTGCCAAAGGTATCTCGGTTCTGCATTATAGATGGATCGCCACGACTCAGTTCCAACCTACAGATGCACGCCGTGCCTTCCCCTGCTTCGACGAGCCGGCTCTGAAAGCCAAGTTTCAAATCAACATAGCGCGTCCCAGAAACATGACATCTATCTCGAATATGCCCAGGAGAGGGCAACCGATGCCAGTGTGAGTAACCATGTTGTATTTCCCGGTCAGACGTTATCGTGATGTTACCGTCTTGTCGTTCCTTAAATCTGATCTATAATTCCATGTTTTTTAGATAATTTTTGAGTATTTGATCGCGATTGAAATCGTAATCACGATGTTTCGGCTCTCAATTCAGATATTTCAAGAACGATAAAAAATGTTGTGGTAAATTTAACACGTTTCTAATGTTCCACAATACTCATGGCCCACACAAATTTTTTAATTGTTAATTTAACACAAGGCGAATATGTTGAAAAGTAACACAAATATTATGTCAAAAATTAACAGGAAATTAATATCCATAATTTGTTAATCGACATTGAAGTATAAAATTTATTTTAACACTTATACATGTTGAATAACTAACTACTCAACACAGAACATATATTGAGATAACATATATACAATATGTTAAATTAACGGGTATGTTAAAAATTTAACGTACAAAATTAATGCAAAAATTTTAACAAGAACCGATTTTAACACAAATATAAAATGTTCTTTACGTGTGTGCGCAAAAGGATATGAGGACAAGATATGAAATCTTACGTAATGAAATTGAAGTCTTAATTACAAATTTCGTAAAATTAGCACCGACAGACAAAACTCATAAAAAAAAATGTCGTCGTCGATTAAGTGCGAAAATAGCGATTATCAGAAATGATATCTTTCCATGGTATTGTTTTGAGTGGATTAATTTTCTCGTAATTAATTTCTAGAGAGATTATCTGAGGAAACTCTTGTTTTTTTTTTCCTTCAGACCCGGCTTACATACGTACGTGTGGGATCATTACGAGCGTTCGGTACCGATGTCTACGTACTTGGTGGCCTTCATAGTTTCCGACTTGGATGTACAGAAATCGGAAGATGGGAACTTCCGAGTTTGGGCGCGCCACGAAGCCATTAACCAGGCGCAGTATAGCTTGAATATCGGTCCGAAGATACTCAAATATTTTGAGGAGTATTTCAAGATCAAATTCCCTCTGCCAAAGATGGATATGGTTGCACTACCTGACTTCTCCGCCGGCGCTATGGAAAATTGGGGCTTGATCACTTACAGGTAAGGATGTTAGACACGCCACCGACGTTATCTGTAATTATCCGAAATACGATCTAATTACTGCACGAGGAGAGTAAGACGAGAACATTCCGTCAGTTTCGTTACTTCGGCAAACATAATATTACAGAATGAATTCTGACGGTGAACGATCGTATTATCATTTGGTCTACATTTCCACATTAAACTACTACATCTAGCAGTTTATTATCAAATAAATATAATCGAGCGTCGCCATCGCTTCATCTAGCTTGTGTACTTAGAGCTGTCGAATGATACTCGAGAAGATAGAACAACGGATGACAAATGTTTCTGGCATTTTTATCTCAATAAATAGTGAGATTATTATCTCAATGATAAGAACTATTCGACGTGTATCACTTGACTAATGAATGCTGTGAATTATGATCTTATGCTTGCTCGTGATATAATGAGACTGAAATTACTAGTGAAATCAAATTGACGATCAGCACATATGTATATACCTTTTTTTTCCTTTTCTCTCTAATTCGTTTTGCCGTCCAGAGAAACCGCGATGTTGTACCAGGAAGGTGTTTCGACCAGTAGCAATCAGCAGCGCGTGGCTACCGTGGTATCTCATGAGCTCGCGCATCAATGGTTCGGAAACCTGGTGACACCGAGTTGGTGGACGGATCTATGGTTGAATGAAGGTTTCGCCAGTTACGTGGAGTACATCGGCATGAATGCGGTAAGCGCCGTTCAGTTCAACGATGATATTGAAATTGCGGTTGAAGTTTGGAGCGATCTTCGAGCGAAAATTTAACAAATTTTTCTTCCAAGTTTAACCTCGGTAGAAAAAAACCAAGATATGCAAGAAACAATAAGATCGTGCAAGATGTGTCTGCCGTATTAATAATGATTTAATATTTAAAAAATAAACAGGTGGAGCCATCGTGGCGAGTCTTGGAACAGTTCGTCGTTCACGATCTTCAAAATGTATTCGCCCTGGACGCTTTGGAGTCTTCTCACCCTATATCCATCGAAGTCGGCCATCCCGATGAAATCAGTGAAATTTTCGACAAAATCTCCTATGGGAAAGGTACTTGACGATTTTTTTTTTTCCAGTCAACACGACGTTCCCGCACAACTGATCTAATCCTATCTACCGGAATTGTTACAGGCGCCTCCATAATAAGAATGATGGATCATTTCCTCAGCACGGAAGTCTTCAAGCAAGGTCTGACTAATTATCTGAATGGAAAGTGAGTGGAAATTATAATGCCTTCGACCTTTACGATTCTTTGCATGCGAAGCGAGTTTAAACATACGTGCAATGATAACGATTCTAAATATACATGCAATATATAATATATGCAATACATTAAATATTCCTGCTTAACCCGTAGAGCCTACCAAAGCGCCGAGCAGAATGATTTATGGTACGCTCTGACAGAGCAAGCTCACAAAGATAAGGCGCTCGATTCAAGCGTGACCGTTAAGCAAATCATGGACACTTGGACTCTGCAAACCGGCTTTCCCGTGGTCACTGTTACGCGAAACTACAACAACAGTAGTATGACACTCAAGCAGGTATGTGAATGGTGAACAAACTGAGCGAAGCGCGTCAGTGAACGGACGTTGAAGTTTCTTTCTTCGAGGTGCCAATGCGATCCTTACACAGTCTATATCCGCTCGTTAATTTATCGCGGGCGTTATTTAGACTATTGACTTTTTTTTTTCACACGTCGTCTTTTTCGTCACAGGAACGCTTCCTGCTTCGCAACAGCAGCACGACGACCACATCTCAGTCGGAGCCGCTATGGTGGGTACCTATCACTTACACGACCGAGAAGCAGTTAAATTTCAACAACACTCAACCCTCGACGTGGATGAAGGCGGAACGCTCGATCACCCTGAACGATTTGGACGCTCTCCCATCTCAATGGATACTTCTCAACGTGCAGGAGACTGGTAATTACATGGCGATCAAGTACTTACAATTACGAATACCAATTCCTCCGCTACGAAAATTTACTTCGAGTGTATATGATTTATCGTTCGCCCGGGACATTTGTTTTCTGACCCATCCTGATCGTTTCTGAGAAAATTAATTTTTGAAAAGTCTCGAACTCACACCTGCTTGATAGTGTGCGAATACACGGCGTGTAAGCGCGACATTAAGCAATATAATTGATTTATTTGACAGGATATTACAGAGTGAATTATGACAGGACAAATTGGCAGATGATAATCAAGCAGTTGAACAAGCAAAATTTCAAGGACATTTCGACGATCAATCGGGCACAATTGATCGACGACGCTCTTAACTTGGCTAGAGCCGGCAAGCTCGACTACAATATCGCTCTCGACGTTACGTCTTACCTAGCCCACGAGACGGAATATTTGCCTTGGGAAGCCGCCTTTAATGCCTTACATTACCTTGACGACATGCTAATCAAGACTCAGGGCTATGACAAGTTCAGGGTAAATATTCATCGAAGACGCACGCTGAGGTGTACACGAGAAACTCTAAGCTCCGGGATTTTGTAACTCTTCATGATGCTCTCCGAGAAACTTTCCAAAGTATATCGCTAAAAATGCGCGAATAAGGAAGATTAGCAGTAATTCAATTTAATATTTATTAAATTGAATTATATCAACTGTACATTAACGCACCTTGTATCTGGCTCTTAAAGGCTTGAATTATAATTATGATTGGTTATCGAAAAGAGCCTTCGTTCGTTACTCTTTCAATATCTTTCAGTTGTACGTGTTAAAACTGTTGGACAACGTGTACAAACAAGTAGGCTTCACTGACAAAACAGGGGATCCTCAGCTGACGGTCTTCACGCGAATTAACGTTCTAAAGTGGGCCTGCGAGTTCGGCCACGACGACTGCCTCGTAAATGCCGTGCAACAATTCCGCAATTGGCGCAACACTCCTAATCCGGAAGTCAATAATCCGTAAGTGGAGACGTACGTGTCGCGATAAGAGAGGACATTACGTCGCGCTACGAGCCCATGAATTATTTATCAGCTCGCTGTCGTATCCTCCGATATGCAATCGGAGCGATTGTGATGATCGAGTTGTGTGATTCATCCGAACGATGTTGGTTATCTCGAGCCAACCGCTTCGCCATGTACTCCTGCTTTCAAACACTCGAAACCCTCTTCGGGTTATTTGTGGCGATAACAAACAGGCGGTAGCTTCGCCAGTACGCAAACTAGGATCAAACATTTGAAGTCGCACACAGAGAGAAATCATTTATTGGCACAGCAAATTTTACTTACTGTCGCAACAAAATCTGTCAGTTACCATATGGACAGAAACAAAGCGACTTGTTCAGAATATTAATTGCCATTCACTGGATTATTTTGTTGAATCTACAAATTATTATGCTGCAAGAACAAATTATTATAACGCAGAAAAACGCTATTTTGTTTTAACAGCAAGTTAACGTGTCCCAAGGGACAAATTCACACGGCAGAATATTTTCTACTCCTAGCAACAAAACCGTTTCTGCTCTAATTATGGATAATTCGCTAATTTGGTTAGTATGCCAACTAAATTTCATTATTGCTGTCGCAACGAATATGCAGTGGCAATAGACAACGATTGTTTGACTCCGTTACGAAAGCAAAATTATTTTTCTCCGTGTAGAATGGCGTTGGGCTGAGGTCTTAACTTTTAAAGAAGAAGAAGAAGATGATGATGATGATGAGGAGGAGGATGATAACAATAGTCAATTAAGTCACGCGTATTTCTTTCTCTCTGACGAAAAGTCTTATCGTTGTAGAATCTCGCCGAATTTGAAGGGTGTCGTCTATTGCACGGCTATTCGAGTTGGCGGACAGAGCGAATGGGAATTCGCTTGGCAACAATATCGCTCGACCAACGTCGGATCAGAGAAGGATCTGCTCTTGCAAGGGCTAGGCTGCACGAGGGAGCCGTGGCTGCTAAATCGATACTTGGACTGGAGCGTTACGGAGAATTCGGGCATCAGGAAGCAGGACGCCGCTCGAGTGTTCGGCGCGGTAGCCACCAACGTCGTCGGACAGCCGATCGCGTTCAACTACTTCAGGAACAAGTGGTCGCGCCTCAGGGAATAGTGAGTTGTCGAGATGAAAAAAATCGGTTCCACAGTTCGTTTGTTGTCGTGTCGCAAAGAGCTGGTTTTTTCTCAGAGTAGCTACGTAATGTGATTGACTTATCCTCATCGCAGATAAGATGCTGCCGAATCTCGAGCATTCCATTCGCCGAAACGCGTAATGTAAGATCGCTCTTTTGTCACTTTCAGTTTCGGATCATCGCTGTTAACCATCAATAACATCGCCAAGTCGGTCACCAAGGGAATAAACACGAAATATGAATTGAAAGATGTGAGTTACACTTTGGAAGTAATTTAACAAGTTATACAGTATTATTAAATAAAATATTGACGTGTGACTTGATTGAATAAGTTCCGAGAATTTATATTCAAATCCGCGTGATCTACGTATGTGGATCTTTTACCCGCTAATTTCATAGTTTTGCATTCGGATGAAAGAAAAATTCGGTACGTCTTGACTTTTCCTAATATTAAAAAATTAAAAAAGTGCGATATATCAATTAATAGAATATTTCTTGGTTCCAACTAAATGTTCGGCGTGAGCACATTCGCCGAATGATTTTTCCTCACCGCGCTCACGAGGAATTAACTTCCACGGGATACCGTGTCAACCTTTTTTATGTTTCCAGCTGCTGGAATTCGCGACCGAGCACAAAGACGAGCTCAGTAGCGCGACACGAGTGATCCTCCAAGCGGTGGAGCAAGCGGAAGCCAACATACGATGGATCGACAACAATCACGCGACTATACGCGACTGGTTGCGAAGGAACACCGCATAATAACCATGTTCGGCAGAAATTTAGTCTTCCGTGGTACCGAGTTCATTCGCGGAGCGATGCTTTCCGGGCGACAAATTGACATTACGCGTGCGAATATAATTCTCCGAGTTTGCCGAATTAGCGCGCGCGGAGATTCGTCCATCCGCACACAGCGCGGATCATTACGGCCGGGACACGCGGGATGGAATCGCCAAATAGTCTAATCGGATTGTACAAGAAGATATTATATGTGTTTTTGTATGTATTTGTAAATATATGTACGGCCAGCATTGTATCGTATGTATATGGTATTTATGAGGATAACAAAACGGGCTAGCTCCCCGGTGTACGCGCGATTCACATTCCCTTTTATCCTTCGCTAGTCGAAGGGGAATATTTTGAATATCTCCCGAGTAATAATGCGTTAAGGATCTCTTTACGGTGTAAAAGTGTATTTTGCATCTTGCATCGCGGTCTATATCGTTCCGGGCCCGAAGAACTTCGGCGTGAAAATATAATATAATTCGTTAGTAACGGAGATGTGATTCGGGGTTCAAGGTGAAAGTTAATGACGGATACTGCGAGAGGCGCGGATTCATCGGGAAATTTCTTTACTTTTCAATTGTACACGTGTTTTGTTCTTGAGAGTTCAGCTGAACAGTCATTGATAAACGCACTATTGAAACACGTGATAGATAACTGTACGTTGGATCAGCATATATTTGTTGAAAAAAAGAGGAATAATAAAGAATTGAAGCGGCGATCGTCACGAATCACCCGAGAAACTAGTGATTGAGCGCACTGACGTTTTTTAATGCAACAAATTAGTTATGCGTAAAAGAGAATGTTACTTCGTCCGATTAATGAGAGTCGCTTTTGTCCGGCGACTCGTTACGATATATGTTGAAAATGACTATTGTGAATCGCCTATCAAGGAGGATAATAAAAGGACTTATACACACGATACGGCCGACTCGTTACGCACATGTTAAAAGTCGCTTAAGAAGTCGAATATTATCTATAGGGTGATCTAATCTACTTTATGTACTTAGAATCTCGAAGAATTCTCCAATTGTCGATTCGTGCGAACATGAGAACCTTGTACGTGCGATCGATTGCCGAACGATTCGCGTACGATGAGATTCTAATTATTCATTAAGAGTTTGCAATGCGACCTATATTTTATAACAGCAGGAAAACACAGCGTATACCGAAGATATGATACCGCATTATTTTGAAAAACGTTGCATGTTGCACAACTTATGGATATAATAAAATTGTATCGATTTTTACAAACACTTCGCCGTATGAGTTATTATTTAATTTCTTTTATTAGCACATTATCAACAAAAGTATATTCTCTTACTGTTAATATATTACTGCTTTAATGCTATGAACGCACGCATGTAAAGCAGCCGTCGGAGATAAAATATATATAGTAACTTATTTTTATTAATATTAGTACAAATTACATACACGCATATATCGTTATTTATATCATCGTATAATAATCTTATAGTAAAAATATGTACCAACTTTGTTTGAACAAAACTTCGCGTTTTCGATGAAATGTTTTTTATTTACTATTAAATGATGAGCAGAATGTCGTTTCGATCGAACGTTTTAAACACTCCTCGGCTTCTTGGTTTCTCAGTGACAGCTTAAAAAGTATGATATTAAAGCAACGAGTGTCATAAGAATTATATTTAAAGGCTGTATTGTTGCACAACCGCCAGGTTTTCCACGCAGTTCCTTGAATATCCAGTTGCCGAATGGTTCGCCATGTGACCTATACCAATTTAAGTTGTTACCCACAATGTCTTCAATGGATTTTACAAATTTCAATGGGAACACATCCGGCTGAGTTACGAATAGGAACGACATCTGGAAGGATAAGAGCAAGGTTTTTCATCATTTATTATCCAACATCGTGTAAATAATAATTATCACGTTTTACGAGAATATTCATACGACATCATATAATTTCATTAAATTACTGCAATTTTTTTTACTCGCGTAAAATTCAAAATGTCATATTCCGATGACGGCAAATATTCCACATAAATAAGGAAAATATACATTTTTTTATCAAAATATATTGAAAAATATGCATTATTAACATAAAATAATGAAGTTCCTGTTAGAATATACAGAAACAAAATTGATAAAAACATAAGATGTGTTAGTAAAGCGGTGCAATAGTGATTCGATTGTTTCCAAAAACCTTTTTCGCAGTCAACTTCAGTATTTTTAAACGAACGTTATACATGAAATTAAATAATACACCATACTGTATGATGAATAATTATACCTTATTAAATACTCTGAGATCCGAAATGTGAGACGCTGCATCGGTAACCAATTTTCGAACGTCGTCCCAGTTGCCGAAACTGTAACGGGACGTATTAAGAGTCTTGCAATAAATGTCACTGCAATTTAGTTATAATAATACTCACTAATTACTCAGCCATTCCGAATGTGACATTAAAAAGTGGATGGTACTGTTTATTCCCACTTGACTTGAGCCATATACGGAAGTAAACACTGCTGAAACATCCTGTCTACGAATAAAGGGGCCGTTCTTATCAACGCCGGTTTCGTTCATGATTTTCATCAGGTAACTGCGACATTAAATGAATTGTTCATGAATTCATTAAACGACGAGCGAACTTGCAGTCGAGAGTGATACACAGGCTATTCCAGAGTTTAAAGAGTCAACAATCTACGCGGGGTCAAACACCATGCATCGTCACGATCTCCGGATATTGTCTTCTCCCTGTGCAATCTCGCGAAATAAATTCGATTAATTTCCAAAGAATCGACATTCGAAGATACTTCTCATTATAACATTACATTCTTTTATATACTGTTACACATTATTTCCTCTTTACTAATTATAATTTGCACTGAATAAAAATGGAAAATTCTGATATTTTACAATGTTTAGTTAACCTGAGCTTCAGCTTTTCATTGAAGAGAGATTTCCGCATTAATTTCTATTAATTTCTAGACAATCGATATTTCTCATCGGAAAAATTTAAACTTGCTAATTAACCATTATTTACAATCGACCGTGCGTTCATTAGAAGCGCGCGAGCTGAGCTTTCCAACGGTCCCACTCCGAAGTCTCTGCGACACCTAGAAGCGGAGATATGAACGAGCGCACCGAGATATGCGCTCGATCGTTGGATCGCTCGTCTTAAAGTCGCCATTCAATGACACCTGTTTCTTTAAGGTACATGGAAGGTGGAGCAGGTCCGCATTCCACAAACGATATATTATTATAGGCCGCGAAGCATCGCGTTACGCGGCATTCCTCCCACTCCTGCGCAACAGACCTCTCGCAGCTGGAGGTTATTCACTTCACCTTTAAGTGTCTCAAGTGGTCTGCACGACCAGCTGGCCTGTGTTTAATTCCCGGTGCGTTCGCATGCGGCGCGAGTCGCATTAGCGTTAGCGTCGCGTTAGCGTGCGGTCCGCCGGCATGTTGGCTTAGTTGGTACCGAGCGTGTCGTAGCTTTTAAGAGACGTAATTCACGAACGAATTGACGTAGAAAGACACGAAACAAAAGCAAGTTTTCTTGACACACCCTCGCAGTTTTTTTTATCATTCATTCGAAAGATGAGAGCGGGAAAATGTCGTGATTTAAGTCGCGCAAGAAGAACGAGTCGAAATTTTTAATTCTACATTGAGTCTTGAGGGGGAAGAAAACGGAAAGAAGTTCCTACTTGTAGCGTCAAAGGAGCACGATAGAAGACCTTTGGAGACTTAATGTAGAACTAAATTCGACTTAAAGCAGGACTAAAAATTTCGGTTTGGAAATTGTCCACACGACGTACGACTTTCTTCACTCGCAACAGAACCTGTTTATTCTATTTTCTTTCTTCGTTCGGCTTTGCGCAATTTTTATAATAACGAAATCAGTATTATTAATGTAAGTCAAACTAAAGGAATAATGAAATATTTAAATTAGCGGATTTACGCTCATCCAGATTTTTTTGTCCACTCTCCTAAGTACGACAAGCCAATTAAGCCTTAGTTTATCACTCGGAAACGCTTTGTGATAAATAATTGTTGCATTCGAGATTTGTGAACTTACATATAGGCCACCGCTGGATCCCTCGTGCAGCCGAGCGCGTTTATATAGACCATCTTCTGAGAGGCGAAATTCGACGTTACATAACTTTCCCACAAGAACTCCCAGTCGTCCTGAGTCCCGTATCTGATTGCAGTGCAAAGGACAGCTGCTTGTGCGTTGGCTGGACTGTGAATAAAAAACGCGGATTCGTAAAGTTATAATAACGGAAACAAGAATGAGATAGTTAACAGATCTATGGAGAAATTTAAGTCGCTAGAAAACTTGAATAAATTACTGAATAAACTTTAACAATTGATAAGTCGATAAATTAACATCAATATGTTATATTTACATACGTCAGTCCATACGTGATCAATTAAAACCAAGCACTAAGTGAGATCTGTGATTTCAATTTTCACCTTACTGCAGTTTTTCCCCGGAAAATTTTAGAATTTTGAAACATACGCGTGTGCGTGTCATGATTAATAGAATTATTTTATCGACATATGATGGAATCTCACATTTTCTTTTTGCCTTTTTTCCAAGACGCGAACAGATCTATAGATGTCTCAACGCATTCCGGCTTATCGAGTTTGCAGGCCCACTCGAGAATCATTTCTCTGTGTAACCCATCCATCAAATGTTCTCCATAGTAATCTTTGAATCCTACTTCATCGTATGTCTCGGACGTCAAATTCAGAACGTATTTCTTCAGGTTGTCCTCGTGAGGCTGTCCCTCGAATCTCTCGTAAACGTAGGACAGGCTGTTGAAGAAAGCCCTCCATGGTAGATGTTCTTTCTCTCGGATCAAATATTTCGTCGCTGCCCACCAGAATTTGTCGTCCGTGTAACCGGCGCGCGTTAAGTAAAAGAGGTCGTCCATGATTTGAGCGCGATTCAGTACGTCGATATTCTCGTATCGGCTGCTCTGCAGCTCTTCGATTAGCCGACCCCACGAGAAGTCGTCGTAATTGACGCGGTAGAAGCCGGTCTGCCTGTAATTTACGATGAACCACTCGTTCATGGGATTAACGTACATTTTTATAGGTTTCGGGCCCAACCACGCTTTGTTGTTTAAAGTTATGTAATTATCGTTGGTCCTGTTATCGGTGGACTTCGTGATTCGAATCGGTATCCAGTAAAACTCTGTGCCTTTCTTGCTCAGCTTCATCTTGTTGTCCAGGATAAACCGCTCCTGCAATTCATGCCGCTTGTCTCAAAGAATCCCGAAACGAAGCAAGAGAACATAATAACCAGAAAACAATCGAGCTACGCGATATTACCTGGGTGAGTGTCACTTCGGAATTATTTAAAGACGCATGAACGACGGGATATCCCGGTTGGTCCGTCCAAGTATTCATCGCTTCTTCGAAGTCCAACTGTCCATTCTCGATTGAAATTGTTACATACGGCTTGAAACTTTTCCATAAATCCGTGGGACGTGCCGTGCCGCCTCGGTGCTTTTTCAGGTAATCGCGAAGCGCCGACTTGTGAACTTCCTTGTCGAATGCGTTGAATATCATTCGTAAAACGGAAGAGGCTGTGAAATGGATTCAAATATCTTGACTTTAGCTATTAAGAACTCTCTTTACAATTGACACAGAAGTACTATTCGAACGTAAGGGAAATTGTAACATCATTATTTGGTATGAATCTTGACCGTTGAAGAGTCTCTTTATACATCATACGTACACTTCCCGTAAGTGACGTAATCGAAGACGCCCTTTATCTCCTTGGGGGTTTTCACGGGGTTTGTCATCGGATGCGCCGATTTCGAGGAATCCTTCGCCAGAGCGGCCTGCAGCTCGTAAACCACGAACTGGTCCATGAATCTGTCCTTGGGCAGCATCTGGAGAAGAATTTCGTGAATTATCTGCTACTTGCCGCGACAATTATCACCGTAAAAATCTTCCACTACTCGAGAAGCTCAGTTCCACGGTGAGCCGACATCCATTTTTGAAAACTCGGAGGAATTATAATTAATTTCAATAATTGAGGAAGTTAAATTCAGATTCAATACTTGAAGTTTCGTAGATTTAAGTTTAAAAATTTGATTGGTATACTTTTTCAAAACAAGCTACGATTTCACGCGCCATATGAGCGCAGGATGAAGAGCATAGCTCTCCCTTTACGCAAACATCGAGCGTCACGTACCTGATCAGCCGTGTACCATTCTAGGTATTCGGCGAAGCCTTCGTTGAGCCAAATGTAGTCCCACCATTGACAAGTGACCAGATTACCGAACCACGTGTGAGCGAATTCATGCGCTATGACGGTGGTTAAGTATTTCTCGTACTTGCTCGTAGTCACGCCTTCTTTATAGAAAAGTCCGTACTCGCTGTCGAAGAGACCTCTTATTACTTATGCAATACATCGCCGATTCATTCGCAATAAATTTGCACCGTGACCGGCACGTGTCGCGAAGCGGCTTGAGCACGTTAATCAAAGCTTCAGAGCGCGTTACCGGAAAGTGATGAGGCCCCAGTTCTCCATCGCGCCCATTTCGAAATCCGGAATTCCTATCAGGTCCACCTTAAGCATAGGATACTCGATGCCCGTGAATTCCTCCAAAATGCGTAGTTGCTCAATGGCGGCCTTCCGAGCGAAATAACCGTTCTTCACGACCTCGGGTCTGCCCCAAACGTCGATCCCGCCCTCGGGTCCGAAAGATTCAAACTCGCTGATAACGAATGCCACTAGATACGTTGGCATCTCCACGACGGTGGTCTCGAAGATGTCCCACATATAGCCAGCTTTCCTGAAACGACAGACGTATAGAGGCGTGTAAATCCGCCGTTGATTCAGTTCTCGTGTTGAAAAATTGTACTGCGCGTCAGGTGCGTGCAAATGTCGCGAGCGTGCTTCCCGCTCATACTTACTCCGATGCTAACTCTTTCGAGCGCGGCATATTACTCAGACTCGTATAGAACGTTGGCCGTTGAATGTTAATTATGAATTTCGATTTGAACGCCGGCTCGTCGAAGCAGGGGAAAGCTTGTCTAGCGTGTGCGGGCTCAAATTGTGTTGTGGCCAGCCAGCTGTGAAGGAAAGAGACGACGGGCGACGTTAATAACAAAATCACGAGCGATTGGAGAGCGATTATACGCACGATGGATCCTCCGAATGAAATTGCAAAGTGTTCGTTATTCGATCATTCGCGGTATGCAATAACGGATGTTGCTCACCGTAGCACCCCGTCTTTGTCCTTGTAGGAACTACGATAGAATCCTTGCATGTTGTCGTTGAGGGTCCCTTCATACTCGATGTTCACTATCAACGTCTCCACATTCACGAATTCATTCAGGTATATCTTCAATTGTTGCGTGATAGGATTCAACACGAATTTCGACGATACATCTTTGACCTTCACATCGTACTCGTCGTTCATAATCGCCGGCGTAATTACGTAAACCATTACGTTCTTGATAGTGAGATTGTACGAATTGAGAAGTATATCTGATACGGCTGTGAGGGTCTTGTCGGTTTTTATGCGTATTTGCACGTTCCCTTCGAAGGTGCCCTCTTGTATATAAGGCGTAAGGGAGATATTGTACAGTTCGGGATACATCGTGTTCGGCAAGCGAAACTTTTCGCCCACCAACAGCTTGTCCAACGCTTGGAAAATTTCCGGCATTTTTCTCTCGTACCAATCAAATTCGTACTGCGCGTTTGCCACGTGGGAATCAGCGGAATTCTTGAATGTCGGATCTTTGTCGATCAAGTAGTCGAGTAGTTTTACATACTGCGGTGTTACAACGACGAGTTAATAACGACTGTCGGCCGGTGTCGGGAAATTTATGTATATAGCACAAGATTGTACTCTTTTCGTTTAATATTTAATATAGACGTGAACGTGCTACTTTTCTCTTCGCTTCTCTTGGAAAAGACGATTCGATCATTACTTTCCGTATAAAAATCTTCGAAAATTCAATATATGAATATTTCTATTACAATTACGACTGGATATTTATCACGCGAGATTCATAAAATCAATTGAAATGTATGACAATGATAAATTACCGTTCCGTATAATTCGTAAGTAGATAGTCTGCTCGCCAAGGCACTCACTATGCTATAGATTTCCTTAGTACCGCCAAAGCTGCCGGCAATAATGCATCATGTAATTATATATTTGTTTAATGTACTTGCGTCCCATGCAATTCTCATCGTCACAAAATCATACATTTACTTACCGTTTAGTCATGTTATCGTAATTCGTGTTATTCATGATGACGTTCATGACAACATCAACGCCGATCAAGCTCGCATCGTAGACACTCGAGAATACCTTCGTGCTGTCTTGGAGTCGTATAAATGAATTTTCCTCGATCGCGGTCAACAGCAACCTTGATTCAAACAATACATATGTACATATGAACTTGTATGTATCAATGTAGCTAGTTATATATTAATTATTAAACTCTCTCCCGACGATTTTTACAAAATTGTCTGACTCTTGTGCGTAGCTACTAGGGATTTGTGATACAAGCAAAAAGAAATACTTCGTTACTTTCGGACTTACATGATATATATTATCGAGTATGTTTTACGAAATGATATCCGCAATGGGATACAGAAGATAAAAGCTTTGGAAAGCATTATTAGGCGTGCTTACTTTTCTAATATCTCCTTGTTTTGCGAACATCCCAACGAGTTGAGGATCATGAGTTTGTCCGCCATGACATTGCTTCTCTTGTATTCTGTCTGAAGGAACTTGTAGGTAAATTCTGTCGTGTCTGTTTTCATGGCCGTGCAGTAAATGACGCCGCGATAATTTGGCGGTATTCTGCGAAACGATTGACAAATTGAGACATTCGCAAAATTGTGACGCGTTATTAACATTTTATTTTCATAGTTCCTTCGTGCTATCCGGACAATCATCACGAAGCTCGTGGTACGATCAGTCGTAAGAAGTGTCACAACCTTTTTGTGACTGACTATGCATTTCTCTTGTAATTAAGTTCGCAAGTTTTACGGTTTGTCACGAAGAAACGTATATTATATATCGTTTTCCATTTGTGTTACCGGACTTACTCTTGTAAATTGTTGCGCTTCAGTTGGAAATATTTCGCAGCGTGGAACTTACAGTCTGCGATATCTAATTTGCAGGCCCATTCGCGAGTGTATATTCTCAACATATTCTGCATGCGTGTCAAGTCATTCTCGTTGTTCTCGTTATCCTCGAAGGTGAGGTCTGTGTAAAGCGGCTCTATGAGTAATTCTAGGTATTTCTGGAAATGAGACGACATTCATATATTTATTAGAAGCTTGTCTCTGTGTGGGATTACTTTGGCACATGGAGAAAATAAAAAATCCAACACGGATAGTTTAACTGAGCATTATAGTCAGCAAATCCGAAAGATATTAATTATAAAATATATGTACACAGGAAAAGGTACTAGATTCAAGTAAATAATTACTTCAATACTCCTTACTCCGATACTCCAATACTCTTTAGCAAATTTTTACTCGGACAAGTAAATTACCACGAGTAAATATTACTTGAATGTAGAAAGAAAAAAGTGCTACATTCAAGTAATGTTTACTTAATACAAGTAAAAATTTGCCAAGGAATATTGGGATAATTATTTATAGTGCTTGAATCTAGCACTTATTTTCTGTACATAAATGAATTATAATTATATATAATAATATAAAAATTATATATAATTATATAAAAAGATGTATATGTGTAATATAGCTACTTTGTATAAGGCTTCTATGTCACGACCCCAGAAACGTCTGTTCAAGTAAGGCAGATTATTGTAGAACGCACGCCACGGCAGATAATTCCTTTCCTCAGTCAAATACTTCGTAGCTGATATGGCAATCCCGTAATTGACGTAGTTCGCTCTGGCGAGATTCATCAGATCATCAATTATCGCCGCGCGGTTGATCTCGTGAATAATATTCGAAGTTTTGAGAACTTCAATCAACCGTAGCCAGTGCTCTTCGTCATAATTGACACGATAAAATCCTGGGAGAATAAATGTTTACATTCAAATGGCGCCCTGGGACTGTTAAACGTCGAAAAATCCTTTTTACATTTAATCGTTCTCTATTAATCAAGTGAAGAAAAGAATTTCACCCCGAAGTCCATTCAGAGACTTAGGAAGGCTTCGAAGATTTGTTCGAAATTATTTCTAAAAATTTTGTTCATTAATTGTGATCGCGAGAAGCTTTATCTCTTTCCATATTTAATTGTGCACAAGACAATATTTATGATAATATTTAATTTTTCTTATTTTCGAGCTTATTTCGTTTCGATTACCGGATTGCTGTACGTTGACGATTAGCATCTCGGGTTTGGGGATTTTCATTTGTTCTTTCGTCAACCAGAAACTCGGTGTAGCAATTTGGTAATCCTCCTTGTCCGTATGCGCTATTGTGATCGGGATGTGCCAGATGTTACCGTCGAAAAAGTTCTCAGGTTTCTTGAAGAGGAAACGTTCTTGTCTAAAAATCATGATGTCGTCTTGAGTGGTGACGTGAATGACAGGATAACCGGATTGAGTTGTCCATGTATCCAAGATCTTTTGGATATTTTCCTCTCCTCCTTCAAGGTGTACTTGAGTCTGAAGTTGCACGTACAAGTCTTCCGGTGTAGAAAAGTTATATTTCCTAAGGAACGAAATGAAAGACGAATTAACGTCTGTTTGGGGGAAAAAAAGATACCTTGATCTTGTTCACTGATTAAATTGATAAGAGGAATGTTCACCCAGTTCACAAAATTGCCTTTGAACATACCGGTCGTTGAGATAGCCTTTCAACGCATTGTAGAACACTTGTTTCCCGAATGACTTTTCCACCATTCTCAGCACGCTGGCAGCTTTAGCATAAGAGATCGTATCGAACATGTCTTGAATCTCGCTCGGTGTGAACACATCGTGGGTCATGGGGTGAGTGGAATCGGAACTATCCGCAGCGAAGGCAGAATGCAGATGGTCCACTACAAATTGCGACTCCAACGTCACGTCCTTGAACACCTAACATAAAGCCGATACTTTTATCGTTCGATGAAATCCTTCGTCACTTTCTATTAATTGAGTGAAGAAAAGAATTTCGCCCTGATGATTCCATTCAGAGATATAGACCGGTATTTATAGTCAGACCTTATATTTAAGACCGTCATAAGTTCATCTTCAGATTCCGTACGGTTCATTTCATTGGCTACAAAACATTTGACGATCAACTTAGGACGATATTAAATATAAGACTGCGAATATCTCCCTTAGAAACATATTTTCTCTAAATACAAAAGTTTTGTCCGTTAATTGTGATTTCCCGAGGTTTTGCCTCTTTCCACACTGAATTGTGCATAGAGTAATTTTTGCGTAATTCTATAACTGTGCCGTGACACTTCGGCGGGGCAAATGTTTAATTTTGATTTTAATTATTTACGTCAGCGGTGGCGTGATACTGGAAGTATCGACCGAATCCTTCGCTCAGCCACAAGTAGTTCCACCATGCAGGAGTGACCAAATTTCCAAACCATTGATGGGCGATTTCGTGGGCGATCACGTTCCTGATAGCCTGCTTGCTCGTGATCGACGAATGATTCTCGTCGTACAATAGACTTCCCTCTCTGTACGTCAAGAGGCCCCAATTTTCCATCGCGCTCATCTGGAAGTCCGGTAATGCGACCATATCGAGCTTGTCGATCTGATATTTCTGTTTAAAATTGGTCTCGAAGAACTTCACGATCGGAGATATCACGGACAGGGCGTATTCCGCTTGATCGACAGCGTTGGGCCGTGCGTAAACGGCATATTTATTTTCGACCTTTTTTGTGGACTTGAAATCGGAAACGAGGAGCGCTACTAAGTACGTCGACATCTTCACCGACTCTTCGAAGACGGAATAGTTGGAAGGACACTCGTCACTGCAACGATTCGCCAAGAGGCGTTTGGGCGGAAATGTAATCTCGGAGAATTATGATTTAAAGAACCTACCATGTGTGATTTTTTACACATACCTCTTTTCGAGCCTCGAGAAATTCATGTTACTGATTGCATCGTAAGTTCCTCTCTCTGTGCACACTCGGATGGTGAAGGTTGCCTTCAGTGCTGGTTCATCGAAGCAAGGGAACATCCTCCTGGCGAAAACCGGCTCCAATTGCGTGGCGGCGAGCCAGCTGGTACGAATCGAACATATCACAATTTGTAATCGAATTCATGAGAATTACAGCATGAGTTACATCTTCAAATAAATATGAATTAATTACATGAAAAATAAATTAATTAATTAATTAAAAAAAGAAGTTAAATTTAATCAATTTCGTTAGCACCACAAAACGATGGAAGGCTAAATACGTTACCTCATCGACCCTTTGTTATTTAGGTAGTAACTTTTGTAGAAGCCATTAAGGTCTGATGCCAAAGCACCCTTGTATGAGATTTCAATGGTCAGATCAGTTTCAGCGTTTATTTCCCGATCGAGCTTTATCTCGAGGAATTCGTACTTGTTCACGGGATTATGTTCCGTTTTGATTTCCTCCTGACCGGCCTTCACCTTCACCGAATGAATTTCCAATACCGTGGAATGCAAAACGACCAAATCCGTCTGCTCCTTAACGGTGACACTGATCAGCACGTTTCCGTCGAAGGTGAAGTCGTCCTTAAAATGCGTCGTGATGGTGATGACGTACTTGTGAGGAATTACTGTCTTAGGTAGGCGATATTTCATTAAGTCCTCGTCGAATCTAGACGTCGACGACGACACCGGCAGTTCGGTCACTTCGTCATTGTTATTGCGCTTTCGTAGCCATTGAATGATAGGTTCCGAATAAGTCTTGTACCATTGCAATTCATATTTGGCGTTTCTCAAGGAGGTCTCCAGAGATTTCAAGACCGGCTCGAATTTTATCTTATGCCGATCTATGAAATTTTGAAATTTGTCCACTAGTTTCTGTGTGGAGAAACTCTGCGACGCCCCGTCGAGGATCTGGCCCACCGTACTCAGTCCTCCGTAGCTGAGGAAATCGCGCGTTCGTAAAATTATAATCGGAAAGATTAATCACGCGCGCGATCTAACGATCTTTGGAAATATCGAATTTTAAATTGGTATTGTTTAACGTATCGACTGAGAAGTAATTTCACCTACACGACGACTTCTGTGACGCAGTTGTCGCAACATGCAACAAACAGGACTTACTATTTTTCCATATCTTCGTGATATTTCTCGACGAAGTCGAGGATGTATTCAGCGCCGATCATGCTCGAGGAAACGGCGTCGAAAACGCTCGCGCTGTCTTGCTTGCGTATCCGGTTGGTCTGATAATCGCTGATGGCGTACTTCAAATATCTGAGAGCGAAAAAGAACAACGTTAACGAATATAAATATAAAATATTATAGTAAGAACGATAAATAAGAGCTGTTGCTAGATGTTGGCCGTGAAAATTTATAAATCTTAGCGGAAGGCTAAAATTGCCCGTTAGTGTAACGTGTCGAATTATTTTTCCAGATACTTACGATATACGATACTATATAGTAACCGTCATTTCCACGTCGGACCGATCTTTTAATCCGCAATTAATATTCATACTAATCAATACACCTTAAATATTCCCCCGGATAAAATATTATATCAGACGTGTGTGCAAAAGTTTTAGTCTTTTGACTATATTGAAGTAAAGCGAAAATTTGCGAAAAAAATTAAAATTTCTGCACAATCTGATATAATATCAATGACGATTGTTCGGTGATCAACGTTCCACCAATTGTTAAAAGTATAATGGCAGGAGATCTCTGCGACTTGTCTATTCTTACTTTTCCAAGATGGTAGTGTTTAGACTGCATCCGAGAGCATTGATAATCTCTTTTTGTTCGGCCGCGTTGTCGGAGTAGAAATATTTTTCCCAGAGAAATTCCCAGTCACCTGATGTGCCGTTTCTAATGCCTACGCAGTAAGCCACGGTCCTTTCGTTCGGTTTGATGCTGTATCGAATATCAAACAACTCGACGTTAGTTGATTTATCAAGATAATTTGAGAGTCACTATTTATTATTAAAATTCGAACTGTGAAGAATGAATACGTCATCAATTGACCGAAGGATATTTAGATTTTAAAAAGTTCACCGTGTGTACCAAATATCGATCTCTATAAAATAAAGGCGAATAAATATAAACATTTATATATTCTTACGAGGTAGAGGGTTCCGCTTTCCACTTTTGGAACTTGCCGACATAAGTCGTCACGCACTCGTCGTCGTCGAAATTGCAGGCCCAGATGTTCAAGTCGCGTCGTAACAGGACCGTCAATCTGTCATCGTCCTCGCGATCCTCGTATCCTAGTTGATTGCGTGTATTATTGATGAGCGATAACACGTATTGCTAAAATTGTGAAATTAATTAAATAAGTGAAACTAGTTGATCGAAGATATGGAGGTTGATTGATTTATATTGTTGAGTATCTTATATTTTTTACACACATATATAAATTTATAAATATAAATAAATAAATATATATATATATATATATAAATTTTTAATTATTTTTTCTCATTATTCGAACGCTATTGGTGTTTCAATATCGTCGTGAAAGATTTGTTAAATTAGTCGCAGAATCCTACAAGGGGACTAGAACAAATAGTACAATCGAAATTACATCCGTCTTCTTCCCCGCCGACTTGTTTCACGCGCCTCGACGCGGCAATTAACTAACCTTAAGTAAGGAATGCTCCTCATATCCTCCAAACCGTTTGTTCAAGTAGCTTAAGCCATTTAATGCTGCTCTGAAGGGCAAATAATTCGTTTCCCATTTGAGATATGTTATGCCATCTAGGACCGTCTCGTAATTTTGATATCCCGCTCTACCCAGGTTTAACAAATCGTCCACGAGGACGGCTCTGTTTGACACATGGATGTCGTAGAATTTGGAGCTGTGCAAGACATTGAAAATAAGCTGCCATCCCTTGAGATTGTAATTGACGCGGTAGAAACCTACGATGAAAGATATTATAGACATTGAGTGGCTTCTATAAATGACTTTTTTTGCCATTGATTAATCGTACCGTATTATTATTTTTTTTAGTTTATTCCGTTGTGTATTCACGACAGACGCGTTAGTATAAATCTTGCGTTACTTTTTTTATTATTGCATTATTATTCCATTCGTGAGGAATTAAATTATTTGTTACTAACCCGATGACTGAACGTTGAATATCACCCATTCGTTTGAATCGACATTGAGGTTTACAGTGTCATTTATGTTAGATAGCCAGTATTTGGCAGTCGTGTCATCGAAATTCCGAGTACTCTGCGTGGTCCACGTGAGGGGCACCCACCAAGTATCGCCCGTTGAGATGTTGTCCAGGTTTCTCAAGAAGAAGCGTTCCTGGCTAACGTGAAGTACACCTTTATCGTCGATCGCGACCGACACGACAGGATATCCGGCCTTCGTCGTCCAAGTATCCATTACAGTTTTCACAGGAACAGTTTTCAGTGAAGGATCTTCGAGATTCACTTGATCTTGTAGCGCCGCCCATAAAGCATCCGGATTACCTAATCCTTTCTCTTTACTGAAAAACGTGTTGTGATTGTAACAATCTTGATTTTCGAACATCGAGAAGAAGAACACAGAGGATATGTTGACTTGAAACATTAATGAATTGTAAGCATAGATTAATGATACGCACATTAATCAATGCCAATATCGAAATATTAATCAAGTAAATTCTTCTTCCTAATGCTAATCTTGTACTGTTTTACTCATTCTTAGGTGTTTCGGCGATTCAAAAGTCATTATTTCTTCGCAACACAGTAAATCAATTATTACACTTCATATAACACGTACTTTTTACTCAAGTATTCGCGTAACGCTGACGGGAAGACATTCTTTTTGAACGCGAGGCTAGTCATGCGAATGATGCTGGCACCCTTTGAATAGGTGATGATGTCACCTATTTTCTCGATTTGCGAATGATTGGAAACCTCCCGAGTCATCGGTTGAGAAGACTCAAGACTGTCCGCTACCAAAGCAGCTTGATGCACGTCCACCACGAATTGCTCCTTGATGTTCCACGATATCTCGATCTACGCGTTGAGTGGGCAAGAAGAAGATTATTAAATCGGCTCCCGTAGATGTCGAGACTATTTTTTTTATTTTAGAAATATTGGCTACCTGGTATCTACAATATTATCTACAATATCCGACATCTAATATTTAATATTATAAACATTAAATATCTCTTTCTTTTTATCCAAGTCGCGAAAGCCTAAAATATCAGATTAGATATCTCTTTTGTCATAACACGTCAAAGTGGATCAATTGTCGATCTCCAATGACGGCGAGCGCAATCTACGGCGGTTGCAATTAAGCCGCATGAGACCAAAGAGACTTAATTAACGTAATTTAACTGAAGCAAAATGGCAAAAGGGCAATCAAAGCCCTTGAGAGTGTCGCTCTTACTTCTGCGGTAACGAAGTATTCGAAGTAATTGGCGAACCCTTCGCTGAGCCATAGGTAACTCCACCATTCCGGCGTCACCAGGTTTCCGAACCACATATGCGAGCACTCATGAGCGATCGTGAACGCCACTTTTTGTTGCGCGGGCGCCGACGATTCTTCCTCATCGTACAGCATATTAAGCTCGCGGAACGTCACCAATCCCCAGTTTTCCATGGCGCCGGCATTGAAGTCGGGCACAGCTACCATGTCCATCTTGGGGAGATTGTATTTTTGCAGAAACTTCCTGCCAAGCAACTCAAGGGTAATTTTGCTGATTTTATGAGCGTATCCAGCCTGATCGATGACTGCCGGTCTGGCCCACATTTGGTGTGGGACTTGCCCGAAATGCGAGAATTCCGAAACGACGAACGCCACCAGGTAGGTGGACATGGGAACGGTCTGCTGGAAGGTGTCCCAAACCATGTCGTGTTCCCTTGAAAGAGCACGAATTAGGAACAAGTGTCGAAGCAGAACGGATTAAGGACGATCTTTATTATCCGCTTAGATGGCAGCAGACAAGCGTCCGTCAATTTTGCGTTAAAACATTCTTCAGTGGTTTTATATTACAGGATGACGGTGATGGATGCTTTTAATTTTCCAACACAAAGGAGTTGAAAAAGTGTTGACGGAGGATTGACGGGGGATCGACGGACTCCTGTCTGCCGTCGTCTAGATGTATAATACAGTGAAAGAAAAAAGTGCTGCATTCAAGTAAATATTTGCCATATTTGGAATATTTGAGTACTTATTTTATTTGGATTAAATAAATATTATTTGTAGTTCATTGAAAAAAAAGTATTATAATCAAGTAATATTTATTTAATCCAAGTAAAATAATTACTCCAACGCTCCTTGGCAAATATTTACTTGAATGTGACACATTTTCTTTCATTGTTAGAATCAACCTTGATTCGGCTAATTATTGCGCTCTCCTGAATAGCGATCATATAATTTTTCTTCAGGAGCGCTCACATGTAAAGTGACAAGTGTCGCGTGAACTCGACGATTTTAATAAACAAAATCTATCAAACCGAAGAAACGTGAAAATGTTCACTTTTTATGTTTTCGCCCCAAATGAAAAGTTACACCATCATTATCTTCTGGTACTTACTGTGGGTCGTTTTCGATCTGCTGCATGTTGCTAAGGCATGTATAACTTTTGTTCCTTAATATGCGGATCGTGAAGGTTGCCTTGAAACTCGGCTCGTCGAAACACGCGAAGGCATGTCTAGCGTGTGTCGTTTGAAACTGCGTTGCGGCTAGCCATCTGTGGTTTCAAATAAAAACCACATTGCGAGATTTTGTACTGATTATTAAGGATCGTTATCTGCCAATTAACGCTCCCGATGCGCATCGAATGTTTTGTTTAGTGAATTATATTAAATGGACGCACACGTGACTTACTTGATCTGTCCGTCTTGATCGAAGTAAGAACTTTTATAAAAGCCGATCATGTCATCGCGCAATTTTCCTTGGTAAGTAAAAGTAATCATTATTTTCGAGTCCTTCTTGAGAGTCTTGGAAAGTGTGATGGTGTACTTTTCGGTGACATTATCGTAGCTGCTCGATTTGTATATGTTCTTCTCGTTCAGTATGACGGATCGCGAGATGATCTTTATGTCACCCACGTGCAACGTGATCGTGTCAGTATCTTCTTCTGCCACAGCCATGATTTTCTCGATACCACCGAACGTAAAGCTGTTTTGGAATTCCGGTGTGAACATGATCTCGTACGAAATAGGTCTGACGGACGTCGGCAATCGGTAATCGACAGATGCATCATCTTGCGAGAGACTCGCGTCTCGCGTGAGCGCATCTGGATAAATGGAATTTAACGAGGGATTATATTATTTATTTTTTGGCTTTTATTATTTCTGCAGCATAAATTTGTGCTGAACAACAATGTTCACGATGTGAACACGATTCGATATATTTGAAATATAAAAATGTGCTGAATATAAAATATGTTGAAATATAAGAATAAAAATTATTCAATATAAAACATACAGGTAAAATTACCTTCGTAAGGGAAAAATTCGGTCGCTTCATTTCCGCCGAACAATGCAATCAAGATACAAGACAAGAGATGTTTTCGAAAGACCCTCATCGCGAAAGACGATTGCGTAATTTTTCGTGGGTCTCAAACTGCGTCAAGAATATATTATCATGATTAAATAAGTAAATAAATAAGCAACTATAATTAATTGTGTCGCATCGTCTTGTTACATCGAATTTCTAAAATTGACATATTAGTGTGTTTGGCTATATCTTAATTATATCTTATCATTTAAAGAGACTATCTAATAAAGAGATAAAGAGAATATCTAATAAAGAGATAAAAATTATTTTCCGGTCAAATTATATATCAAAGATATATTGTGTATGATATTGGCTTGGTTGCTATAATTATGATAATTAAAAATAACTTTCTCCGTGATATCTAAAAAACAGAAGAATTTCTGTTACGACATTTTTACTGAAAATTAAAAGTACTTACTTTTATCAAACGCAGTGATCTATGATCGCATTTATTATTGATATTGTCGTTCATTCATGACTACCCTCTGTTCCGCAAGTGAAATCTTCGTAATTAATAACACGCAAACTGACGCTGCTCCTGAGTGCAATAATGTGTATCTTGTAATAATCGCTGCACTTTTATTAATACACTACGAAAAGGAACCAGTACAATGTTTTTTTTTTACAAACTCACAACGAATACATATCACATTTTTGATTCTCAGAACACGTTTCGCGTGTGTATTATATACTTTTCTGGTGGAATCTGTCGAATGGTAAATTACTGAATGCGCTTTAACTTCGTTCTTATGTATTGATATTACTTACAATATCGTAGTGATTATCTTATCATGAGTCGAGTTGGCGATGTCATCACTTTTTTATAAAATCACATTATCGCGCGTTTCTGCTTACACAAAATAGGTATTCTGTTATTGTCCCAGTAATTAAATTTACGTTTAAATTAAATTTAATAATATAGGATTGTTAAATCGAATTTTCTACAGATACGGACTTTCTTTGAAATCGTTTAGATTTTTGGATAAAAAATAGAAATGAAACAATCGTTCCAGTTACGAGGAAAGAAAATATTGCGTTTTATATATTTAATTTTTTTGGATTAATTAATTATAACAGCAATAAATACACGAATTCTGTTTATGTTTTTTGACGTGTAAAGCGGTTGAATGTATCGCATTTTAAACAACGTTAAATATAAAAATAGTCAAAACGAATAAACGCATATTAAATCTTCGCATTGATTATTTCCAATCATTATATATGTAGAATCCTATAATAAAGCGTATATACTATACTGACTTTATTTTGTAGACCATTTACACTTATCTAATCTAGTTAGTGATAATTAGTCAGCAAAATAATGGAACCTTGAACACGACTAACAGGTACATATAAAACGTTATCAAAATTTATACTGCTGATAACAATACATTTCTTGTTGTTTTTCATTTAACTGAATAAAGTCGACTGAAAGACATAAAGTATACATACGATATAGTCTTTTTATTGTCGATCAGAAATAAGTTATGACTAGTTCAATCATAAAAATAATTTTTAACGATCAATTGCAACAAACGTGTCATTGACACGATACTTTTTTTAACCGCGCTTTGAATCTGAAATTTTTTACAAATGTTAGTTTTTAATATAAATTTTTTATTGCGTAAAATAAGTATTCATCTGTGAAAGAAAATTTGTAAGTCGCATTTGGTGTTTAGGACGTTTAAAATATTGCGGTTTTGCAAAAGCTTTATTATTATTTATGATAATCTTATATTATTTGTACGCATGTACACACTCGCTTATATATTAAATATTTACAACATATGAATCATGACGCATTATTGTCTACTAGCGTAATATGCATCGCGACGGAAAATTGATTTTTCTCGAGGGCGCTACGAACTTTCGCTAAATTATTCCTAATTCTCGTTAGCTTTTGTTTCTTCTCAGATAATTCGGTTTCGACTACAATCTTGGAAAATTTTTTTACCTGCAACAAAATATTCTATAAATGCAGTTGACATGAGCAGAATGAATGAAGCAATGTAAAAAATAAAAAAGCATATAACCTTTTCAATTTGTTCTTCTGTGAAGCTTCGGTTAATCATTGTGAACAAAATCATCCCTTCTATGCTGTAAAATATATTACCGTGTTACTTCAAGATGATTATTAAATGTAACTTACATTTTATTATTATACATTTTAGTCGACAAATATTTTTCCATGAATCAACACAAAGAAAAATTATTCATAAATATCTATGCGTATTTATATTTAATCATAAAAGAAAAATATGCACTTACCCCGAAGTGACTTCGTCGGGGTTATTTTCAACGAAATTAATCATTCGATCAATATTAGATGGATTTTTGAATATATTGAGGAGAACATGAAACGTGTCTGGAAACGATCTATCTTCCAAAGTCCTGATATATTTTAAATGCTTTATTACGATGTCCATATTTTCCGAGCAACCGAGAAAAGTGAGGTGAAAATCCAGTGTCATATTTTGTACTTGCAAAAACTTATCCCAGATCTCATTGTCCGCTTTCATCAAGCCGAAGCAAAAGGCCCATTGTTGATCTTGTGAGATTCTGAAATGGAATTAATACAATTGATTGAACATTTTTACATTGAAAAGGACTCGGTGTACCATTTTGTTACTTTGTATGATGAAATGATAATTTTATGACGAGTTTCATTAATTTCTTCAACAAGTGATTTCTCTGGAAGCATAATTTGCTGTTTTCTTCTGATCAGTAGGATGTTATATATTTGAGTCAAGTATTATACAAGTATTAATAATCTTATGTGAAAGACGTATTACACGAAAGATAGATCTCTGAAATTGACAGTCGATGCAAACATTTTTTTCAGGCGTATGTGTACAGTTTCAGTAAATCTTACTTGTTTGCGACTGGGTCTTCTATGTACGCGAGTAATTTGGCGGTAGCTTTGGCTTGACATTCTGCATGCCCATGCATGCAAGCGAAGTCGCCAAGATGGGACCTGGTCTTTACAGTGAGAGGATCGTCGTCAGGGCGGTCGTCGAAACCGACGTCCTCAAGTATCTTATGCGTCAGGTTGAAGGCGAATGGCTTAAAAGGAATACTTTACGATGACCAGGAATTCGCAAGTTAAACGAAGCGACCTGAGACAGTCCGTTCGAACAGCTCCATTTGCAAGAAAACTGGAGACTGCGCGAACTTTAATCCTTCCCTATCGAGTGTTTGAATTTCGACAACGAAACGTTCCAGACAACGCGATGTCTAAAATCGGAACACAGGACACGTCTGAAAGACGATTTTAGACATTATGTTGTCTGGGATAATGCTGTGTCCTACCTTGAAGATCGCTGCTGCTTCGGGTACTTGCAAATAGATATCCAACTGTTGAATGATTTTGAACGCCGCCTGCCACACGGCCGTGTCGCTCTCGCGCGATAAATAATTCATAATTTCGAGGAAAGTAATGAGGTCGAGCTGGCCGGTCTCCGTCATGGCGAAAGCGTCGTCGATGATTTGAGCGCGATTCAGAACAGGTATCTCGGCGTAATCGTCGGAATTGAGAAACGCCGCGATCCGCTTCCAATTGGTCGTGTCGTAATTTACACGGTAATAACCTGTTAAGTGTTAATTGGTCGTGTCGTAATTTACACGGTAATAACCTGTTAAGTAAAAAACGATCATTCATCCTCGAGGATGATGGATGAATAGGGATTATCTGAATTAATTTGTCGCGCAGCTGTAATAACCGACAGCGTATCCCGTAATCGAACTTGGCGCGTATTATTTATATCCGTCCGTATTACGAGCGCATTCGTCCTTAGTCGTTACCCGTTAATTGCTTATTCACGATAATCCAGTCTTCGACGTTCACTCCCTTGATCGTTACAGACTCGTCCTGCGGTCTTAGCCAGTGGGTGGCCAGCGTCGACGAGAAGTCCAAGTTGCTTTGCGTCGCAAAGTTCAAAGGAACCCACCATTTCGCGTAACTCTTCTCAACGTTCTGATTTTCGTGCCGAGTTAGTTTTTGCGTCACTGTGACGTCGCCATTCTCGTAATTACGAACGACCGTCACATCGGGATAGTTCGCCTGTTCGAACCAAGTGTCCATCACTTCCTTCACGTTGAAATCGTCATGGGGCACGTCGGATTCATCGAGAGCGTCCTGCAACGCCTTCCACAGATCGTCCGGAGTGGCGTTGCCGTACGCGCTAAAAATCAATAACACGACGCGCCGTAACGACCACGAGTTTGATCTCGCCTGGGGATTCTTGGAATTTCAAGAGGGTGATACTAACTTCGCACGAAGATACTTTATCAAACCGTTTCGGAACACGTCCTCCCTCAGAAAGTGTGATATCATTCGCAGTAAAAAAGCGGCTGAAAGACGAGAGAAGTATAATCTCGAATTATTTTCGCAATCGCGCGACCACCAGCTATAAAATAAGCGCGATCACACTAAATGTAAGGAAGGATAAGTAAGTACAAGTACTTCTCACATTTTTTGTACGTGTTGTCGGAGTATGCATTGTAAATGTTCGACGTGATATTTATATGAATCGGCTCGGCCCATCTAAAGGCATCTATATTGATCATTCGTTGCATAGTGTCCACCACGAAGTAATCCATCAGTCGCCAATCTTTGAAAATCTGGAGAATGGCTGAGATCGTGAGAAAGAAGAAGAAGACAAAAACCGATGATGCGGATTATTCGATCCGCTCTGATACCTTGTCAGTGATGTAGAATTTGAGGTAAGTTGATATTCCTTCGCTCAACCAGAGGTATTTCCACCAAGCCGGGCTGACTAGATTCCCGAACCACTGATGCGCCAGCTCGTGAGTGATCGTCATAGTGTTGTACAGCTTCGAGTCGATTGGCCGCATGAAGAGGTTCAGATTTACCTCCGGTGGTGTGTTCTCGTCGTAAAGCAGCACGTCTAGCCTGTAAGTTGATGGAGTGGTTACACTAATTTTCCGACTATTTCTTGTTATCACTTGGCTTGATTTTTCATGTTTCCATTACGTATTTCGAATTTTTGGATGATAATAATAATAATAATAATAACTTAATCGGCCCCGAACAAACTGATAGGAAAATAATATAAAGTATAAAATTAAGAATCAAAAAAATAAAGAATGAACAAATACGAATAGGGAACTAATATACGTTTACTGTAATATAGCTGATACGACTGTTAATGTGAATATATATTCATTTTTCTGATTAATTTCTTTCCTGAGTTGTAGAATATTCCAAGACTGGGACGCCCTAAATGTATTAAATCACATATGTTCACAATCGTTTCACGAGGGAATTTTTTGTGCATGACTAACAGCGACCATTTGGCTCTTATTAGCTGTTTTATATATTTCTCGATGCGTGTTTCTCAGAGCCGTATAGAGATTATTATAAAGTTATCGTCATTTTATTTTATTATCCTATTATTATTACTTTATTTTATTACGTTACTTATTTTCATATATTTATTCCGTCGAAATATATCATGCTTTATATACGTTTACCAATTATTCGATCGTCAAGAAAGATTCCGCGCTGTATGCTCGATCGTAATAACCGAGACGGTTATATTCCCTATAACGAGAGGGAGAGTGTACGAGTACTTACCTATAAACGATCATACCCCAGTTCTCGGTGGCCCTGCTTGAGTGCTGAGGTGCCACCACGTGGTCCATCTTCGGCACGGGTACGGTGCTGTTGGTGAATTTCTCGAGTTCGCGCGTCGCCTTCTCGGCGATGTCGAGGTGACGCGCGGCGAAATCGAGCAGGTGCTTCGGCGCCCATATCCTCATGGTGCCGTCCAGATTCGAGACGTGATCGTAATCGGCGATCACGAAGCCCAGCACGTTCGTGGGCATCACGGGTGTCGTCTCGAAGCGCGTCCACACTTTCCCGTCCGTCTCGTCGACTTCCGACCGCGTGGACGGCATGTTCGACAACGCCGTGTAGTTGGGGTAATGCTTTATGGAGAATTTGAAGGTTGCTTTCATAGCGGGCTCGTCCCAGCACGGAAACGCCTGTCGCGCGGAGACCGGTTGCAAATGCGTCAGAGCCAACCACCTGTAAATTGATTATGGCTCGCAGCAGATGCACCAGCGTTGCTACTATCGTGCCGCGCCATGGCGATTGTGCAATTATCGTGTGGAAGCAACAGGTCGCGTAAACGTTTACTATGTAACGCAATAATCGGGGGCCAATCGAGCGAGTTGAATAGCAAGGGTGATTAATCACTCGATATTCTATTAATTTTCGTAAACCTCCGTGTAAACGTGAATTTCGGTCTTTCTGTATCCTCTGTAATGGACATATAGACGTAGATATCACTGATTTTATCGCTGCTGATAAAACGGCAGAAAAATGCAGATCGACGAACCGGAGAGAGAGAGAGAGGGAAGGAGAGAGATCGTCGCCGCCGTGCTGTATCAATTAACAAACATTTCGTGTTTTCATTCCTCGCAGAAGCTCTTTGATATCGTATCTGTATTATCTGTCTGTATTCTTAGCGCGAGATTAGCATTAAGATTACGATTTACTGCCTATTGTTAAGTATTTGCCACACGTTTTTGTGAAAGATTTCTTTCCGATATTTACTTACACTTTATTGCCCTCGTTATCGAAGTAAGAATTCCTGTAGAATCCGCGAATCTCTGTTATTATACCCAAGAATTTCATGTCCAGGGTGTACGCGCCGATATCCAAGGGCTCGTCGAATCGCAGGGTTAACATTTGCGTTCTGTTATTGTAATCATGCCGCCTCGGTACGTAATTCGTCGCGACATCGTTCACGCCGTCCTCGATTTTACGAGCCAGCCTCGTCTGCAATTCGTCTATCGTGAGCAGCTTGGTGTGCAACACGACGACGTCGGTCGACTCGAGCACCTTCACGTCGATGCTAGCTTCGCCGTTGAAAGTGAAATTATCCTCCACGATGTGCGGTATCAATTGTACATCGTAATGAACGGGCACGACCTGCTGCGGCAGCCGATAAAAATCCTCCTCTTTTTCTCTTTCTTCGACCGACATCTCGTTATCCTGAACCGGAATGCTCTGGCTTGCGACAATTAGCAGGGCCGCTGCCAACAAACACTTGGTGATCGCCATAACTTGATGACGCTATGATGTAATTATACAATAATTCCGTGGTACATGCTTCCACGCTTACTGCTACGAGACTGACGCAGAATATTTCTCTCCTCTTACGCACGATAAGCAGAATGTTATGAATTGCTCTTTATATGTTGCATATATGACCGTCCTTTAGAAAAATTACTATCGTATACGACAGTAACGCGGGTCATCGAAATTGTTATTTAGCCGCGCTGAGTTTGCAAACTTTTGCTGTTACAACGAGATAACGGTATGGAAACATATCGGGTAGGAGTAATGAAGCGCACTCGTTGAGGAGACATGGCGAGTAGAGGCAGAACACGCAATGCGTGTAAAGATAGTCACATATCGTAACACAAAAATGTGACGTAGATTTTTCGGAATTACGTCAAGATGTTGCATCTCCGTTTCCAGTTATTTAATTAATGGTTATTTTTAAATCGCCTTGATCAAAAGTATCAAAGAAATATCGTTGCCAAAGATCAAATCTAATCGATCGTACGTCGCATGTATACGTAAATTTTAAGTGTGGGTTATTCTTTTATTTTAATTAGAAAGTATATTATATACGTCGTTATTTCCGAGTTTTAAGATAACGATGTACTTTGTGTCAACTCCGCCTAACGCAACTTCGAGAAATCTGTATCTTTAAATGATCGAACCTTTCAGGCCGGCTATTGATAACGGTATTATCAAGCGGCATTAATTATTTGCGTTTATTATCACGAAATGATGCCTTTTAGAAATAAGTGCGATAAAGCGGCATTAACGTATCAGCGGACTTTTACAGCTGCCAATTCGCTATCAGCGTAATGTCGTGTATCGGCACGCGCATTGCTTCGAAAGAATTGATCTCCGTCGGGATGACCGTCACTTCCTAGTTGGCATTTTCTTACCTCTGTGTCTGTACATGCGCGTCGTCTATAGCAGGAATCGCCTTTACATTGAGCGTAAATAAATAACGCCTATTGGACCTGATAATCTTTGCTCTCTATTATGTAATCGCAGATCGGCCGAAGTATATTAGATGAGACATCACCTATTTCGAGTCGTCGCTCGGAGACGACTTGCTGTCGCAATTATTCCCGACACCACTATTGTTCATATATGTACGGATTTCTCCCGGAGTGATGCTCGCAAGGCGAGCTTGAATTCTCTCGACGCGCCGACCGCGAGCGGATTCTGTGCGTCTCCGCCAACTCGAAATTCCGCTCTCGGGTTCTCGCGATTTCTGGCATCCTCCTCTCGAAGTTGTTTAGGAACGCTTTAGTCTGAAAGAAAATTTATTTATTTATTTATTTATTTATAAACGAGAAAGGTACCTCTTGGCATACAAAAAGAGTGAACGTAAAATATTTACCAAAAGTAAAATCGCCACAAAGAACAGAGGAGAATTGAATTTCCTCCTATCTCAAGTAACACGTACATTTTGAATCAGACGGAAGGGCGTGCGTAAGATCGTGCCTGAAGACATTGGCTGATTTATAAAAATAGGCCGATGTTTTTCGAGTATTTATTATATAGAATACTGGTTCGGTTAATACGATTATCTTTCCATAGGTCGTTTCATGAAATTCAACGCGAGGGACGAAATATTTCAGTCGCGTTACTCTGCTGTTTCGTGTCGCGTAAATTTCGCACATATACGCCCTATTACTCGGGACTTGTGTAGTATATCGCGTGGAAAAACGTATATTTCGGTCGTTATCCGAAAGTATTTTCCAATATTATTATGGGAGAAAAACGTTATCGAGTAACACGGCCTGGTAAAAGGCAGGAAGCGCGACATGATCGATTTTGGGTACCGCGACCGAACGGCTGGCGTATCGTTCCGATTCGATCGTTACTCGTCGGCCTACTCCGCGGGCGAATCTCGGCGAGGAAATTGCGTTGCTGCGGCTTCAGATGTTGATGGTTCCATCGGAGTCGCTCGCGTTACGGAGATCGGGGACTAGGAAGCCGACCGGGAGATACGTCAACGCGACGGGCGATTCTTCAAAATGCGTCCGCATCTTCCCGTCTTTCCGCTCGATTTCCGACACCACGGCGGCCGACACGTGCGAGACGGTCGTGTAATTGCGACGGTGTACGACGGCGATCTCGGGGGCGGTTTTCGAAGCCGGTTGGTTCCAACAATGGCAGGCCGTGCCAGCGTAAATTCCCGTGAAATTCGTTCCAGCGGACCATCTGTCGAGATTTCAACCGTCATTGTGGTCTCTTCTGGGTCGGCATTCATAGTCAGATCTTATGTTTAAGATCGTCTTAAGTTCATCTCGAGCTACTTGTAGCCAATTAAACTATCTGTACAGCATCTGAAGATGAATTTAAGACGATCTTAAATACAGTCTGTCTGAAAAGAGTGTGACCGGGCGAACTTCGGTTTGAGAATGGTTGAAGGACCGTTCGAAAACTTTCAAACGAGAGGGTAGAAGGGTTCTCCCCTACGACGCATTATACAGAGAGTCCCAGTCGTTGTCTGACTTTTATTAAGAAACGACGTATATTGACAACGACAGTGATTGGACGATTTTGATGGAAATTCAGATCAACGACACCGCGATAATTCGCTCTCTTTGTTTTTTTCAAAATTTATGGTACAATTATACGCAATAAGGAATTGATAATATGGAATAACACTTTATAGCATTAATTCTAAAAGGAATATTGAGGTTATAAATCGATGATTTAGATAAACATTTATATTTGCATTATTATTTATCTTTATTTATTTATCTTTAGAATCCGTTTATATATGCGAGAATATATTTCTATTTATCTTTAGAATAGATCGTGATTTTTCTGATTTTGTTTTTCTTCGATCGTGCTTGTAAATTTTACAAACGTACGATATATTCGTAATAGTTCAGACATGCGCTCATCTATTTTTTCTTGGACGCATTTAAATAACTCTTCGTCCTCCTTGTAATTATTATTCATAAATTCGTTTATCTGAAACAAATTACTCTTATATATATCGCAAATATTGCAAGTAAGTTAGATAATGCTGCGAAAAATAGAGTGTCAAGTATAATATATGCATTTATGTACCTTATCTAGCTTTTGCTTGGAATGCACATTGCTGATGATACCACATAATGCGTGTTTTATACTGACTTTCCTTAGAAAAAGGAAAGGAAAGATAATTAGTAAATTAATAATAGTACTAAGGCAATTAGTAAATAAAAGGAGAGCGTGTCTGGAATTAACAGATAACTGCTATTACCTGGAGGTGGCTTGTTCCAGATTCGCCAATAAATAATTATATATTAAATCCTTGTTCGCATGCTTCTCCACCACGTCATTATAAATCATATAGTAGTCACCGTCATTTATTATTGTGTTGTTCGTTGCGGCTATTTTCATATAATCGATGATAATCTCCGGATTTTCAGAGCAACTCAGATACTGTGAAATAAAACGATTCTCGGCATATATATCCATCACATTATTCCAAGTAGACAAGTTCGCGTCCATAATACCGTTACAAAATGTCCACTCCTTCAGGTTCGGCGGAACTCTGGAATACATGCGTAATAAGAGGAACATTGTTGTGTATCTGTGCTTCAATCAAACCATTTATTCAGCGATATATGATCTAGCAATTATCACGTGCTAAGAAATAATGACGATAGTAAAATTTACTTGTTCTTCTCAGGATTCGCGAGATGTTCGTTCAATTTCATAGCGGCCATTCTTCTGCATTCAATGTGATCGAAACTACACGCCCACTTTAAGGCCTCTAATCTTTTGATCTTCGTAAGATCACTGTCGGTAGGATTTTCCTCATATCCTACGTTCTCGACAAGACTGTTCATCATTGCAATTATGGTTACCTAGTATTACTTTCATATTAGTCCTCACATATATAATTTGTCTGAAATAAATGTACACACACATACACATGTTGTCGATCGAATGTATTATCACTCACCTTCAGAAATTCAGTTCCTGGTATCTGGAGGACATCCTTCAGGGTGGTGAAAATGAGGAACATAGCACACCACGGTATATACTCCGTTTCTTTCTGCATGTAATTCATGATATCCAGAAATATGGTTATATTCAGTCGATTCGCCACCAAAAGATGGTACGCGTCATTAATAATCTGAGCCCGATTGAGCACGTGTATCTTCGTATAATCGTCTGTATTGAGGTAGTCCGTAATCTTCTTCCAGTTCGCCTCATCGTAATTGACGAGATAGTATCCTGTCGCGAAGTTAACTCGATTTATCGATCTCATCGGTTAGACCCCCTTTGACTTCTCTCATTTACACTCGGATTCACTAGCAAAAATTCTAAATAGCGCAAGACGTCCCAGAATCATCTCGAAGATATCCATAATGACTCGAGGAATATTTTGAGACGTCCTCAGGACATTTTCACAGTGATCCTGGAGACGTTTTGTGCTATTTGGAACGTTTGTGTATTTATTTAAAAGACCATGTAATGCATAATGTGTCGAAAATTATACTCACAAACGAAGTGGAAATTATCATTATACGTTCTCTTATGTGATATGATTGCTCTTTCAGCTATGTAATAAAATCCTTTCGATCGATACATACCTATCTGTTGTAAGTTGACTATGAGCCAGTCTTTCGAGTTAATTCCGCTAATGGTTATATTTTGATCCTGCGGTCTCAACCAATGAGTGGGCAAGGTGTTAGAGAAGTTAAGATTCGTTTGAGTAGTGAAAGTTATAGGTATCCACCATATATCGTCGTCGATCGAGGGGTTTTCGCCTGATATGTACGGGCTGGAATGTTCTTGCATCAGTGTTACTTCGCCAGTATCATAGTTACGAATCACACGTACCACAGGGTAATGCCTTTGTGTTATCCACGTGTCCATTACTTCTTTCAATTTATAGTTGTTGTGCGGAACGTTTGATTCGTCTAGAGCTGCTTGCAAGGCATTCCATAAGTCGTCGGAAGTGGTCGAGTTAAACTGACTGAATTGTAAAGTATATTATTACGTACTTATTATTATTATTATTATTAGAGAGAGAGAGAGTAGCATATTTTTATTTTTGCGTCAGTAACGGACTGAATGCAGCTATGTTTTCACAAGCAGGAGAGAAAAATGCACTACACTTACTGAATGTTTAAATATCTAATAAGACCGTTCCGAAACACTTCATCAGTAATAATATGTTGCAACATGCGCAATATAACAGGTGCTGTAATGATTAATAATATAAAGCTTTTCTAATATATAAAAAGAGATAGAAGAATATTATGTAATGCCATTTATACAAGTTCATGTAAGCTGCTTAAATTATATAATATTACCTTTGCCGTAAGTGGTAGTATCGAAGAGTGACTTAATTTCTTCAGGACTGTTCACTTCCGCTGAAATTGACGTCATTTCCTTACCAACGTCACGATAAAAAGTAGCTTGCTGTTTTTCGATTACATAAATGTCCATCATTCGCCAATCATCGAACAACTAGAAATAATCGCTTTACCAAAATTTAGCAAATGCTCGATTAAAAACGACATTAGCATTAACAGCTTCAAGACAAGCCATCTTAAAGAAATCTGTTTGAAAGTTGAACAGTATGCGCACTCTTTCTCTCTTTTTTTAAACGAAGAGCAATTCTAATTTGTAATTATTGACAGTACATCTTGATGTCTTAAGAATTGTTCGATTATGCAGATAATAATAGAGAGACAAATCAACCTTATCAAGTATGTAAGCTTCGAAGAAAGACGCAAATCCTTCATTTAACCATACATAGGTCCACCATGATGGGCTGACCAAATTACCAAACCACTGGTGGGACATTTCATGCGCAGCTACCACGGCTACTCTGCGTTTTTGCGGCGTGGTATCTTTCTCTTCATTGAGCATGAAATCGCGTTCCCTACAATGAGAAAAGCATCTATTACATAAACTATAATAAATAATACAACAATAATAATAAATATATAATGATAATACTATAAATATGTATGTCCGATAAAGAGTACGTATACACGGCGGTAAGTGCCGCCATATAAATTACGAGTTTTTCATTTCCTATTTCATTGATATTTCGCAGCATTACGTGTAAATGATAAGTCCCCAATTTTCCATGGCACCGGCTGATAAGGCCGGGGATGATACGTGGTCCATTTTTGGAACTTTATCGGTACTGTTGGTGTATTGCGTCAACAGCTCTCTACTTCGCTGAGCGATCTGCTGCGCGAATGTTGAGTATGGCGCCACATCCGGCGGGGACCACATGTTGACGGTTTCGTCCGCGTTAGGAACGCGAACATAACCGCACAACACCACAAACGCGACGAGATAAGTCGACATGACTGGGGTCATGTCAAAGTGCGTCCATATCATATCGTCTTCGTCGCTTTCATTCGAATGTGCCAGCGCCGGCATATTTGACAGAGCGGTGTAATTTCGATAGTGCTTTATGGAGATGTTGAAGGTGGCTTTTAATGCCGGCTCGTCCCAGCATGGAAACGCTCGACGCGCCGAGGTCGCCTCGAAGTGCGTTACAGCCACCAACCTGCCACATTTCAACATCACACCTCTGATATATTTTCAGCTGATCGTTTTAACAGGTAACAAGTGTTAGTTAGGTTTGAAAATGCGGTTTGAAAACGAACGCTCGAACGGTGATTAAGCGATATTTGTGCAGCCTGGTAAGGATGTATGAGTAAGTAGGTACTTAAGTGAAGCCACAAATGATATAAATAAATATATAAATACTTGTGCACAAAGTTGAGAATTGACGATGAGGATCGGTTTGGAAACGTTTCATTTTAAATACGGTCAATTGCAAATATGCAGTCGCAAAATTGCGGAATCGTGTAATATGCCGCGATTTCTTTTTTATAGGCACACACATGATAATGGTAGGAATTATTAGCAATGTCTAATGTCGAGTAATTAAGTAACACGATGATTAGAAAAAGAAAACTTTCAGAGATCAATAGTTACTCACACTACATTATCTTCTTCGGTATAATAACCCGTTCTAAAGAAGCCCGTCAAGTTGTTATTCAGAATACCGACGAATTTTAAATTTAGGATGTAACGTCCAGGAGTTAATTCATCGTTGAATTCAAGAATCAACATTTCTGTTACGTTCTCGTAATTATGCACTTCCGGTATGTAGACGATTCCGTCGCTATTAACTAACGACGTCACTCCCTCATCTATTGTCAGTTCCAATGCGTGCAAACGTAACTCTCGCGTAGCGCGACGAATCACTATGTCGTTATTCGTTTCGCCGTCGAAAGTAAAGTTATCCTTTACGATATACGGTATTAGCTTGATGTTGTAGTGCACCGGCACCACGTTGTCTGGTAAACGGTAATTAACCTTGGTCTGTGAGCTGTTTCCCGAATCATCGTCGAGAGGAAGAGCCGTCGAGATAATAAATATTAGTGAGACGTTCAGAAATAGCCTCAGAAATGCCATGCCGACTCAAATCCATTCAATTCACACGAACGCCTCCTTACTGGAGAAAAGGTCAGTTTGAAGAAAGTGCATATACATTTTGATTTTTTTTATCATTGCGAGCGCATTCGAAGGTACGCGAGCAACGTGTTCAATTTTGCGCAGCCATCACGATCTAATCGATCAAAAGGATCAACGAGATACTGAATCGCGGATATTCCTACATAAATACAAATAACGAATTCCATAATCTAATATTTGCATTGATTTTAAAGTACCGGTATTTTTTAAAGCACTGAATTTTACTTACTAATTTAAATACCGATGACAAATTTCCAAATATTACCCTCGTAAATTGGATTTAGTGTGTTTACGGTAGTTAATTTTTTAATTTGTCACTCCCTTCAATAGCAAATCTGAGTTAAAACGAGTTCTAATTAAACCTTACGATTCAATGCTATCGTTGGTCCTTAAACAACCGTGAAGTCGAGAGCATTCGTTTTTATTTCCTTTGCTAATAGTTTTGATTTTTGAATGAACAAAAGCGGAACGATAAGACGTAAATATTATTTCGTCGTATTTGAGAAAAAAGCTATATATATTATAATTTCCGAGGAGTGAATAGATAAATCTATTCATTTATATATTTAATCTATGTATGTAATTTTTGCGATGCGTCACAATTTTATACTTTTAATTCGTTGAGCTCTTTACTAGCGATAGGTCTCACACGGTTAAAGTTATGTCGTTATATTGTGTTATGTTAGGTGCGTTTCGAAATCTCATGTTAGACACCAACGCTGATTGATAATGTCGCGAGTGACGAGAGAATTGGTAATATTGATATTTGAATTTGAATTCGACAATTATCGAGAGCATGGCGAAATGTCGGCGAGATAAACCTCGCCGTTGTAATCAGCCTCTCATTGTGGTCGAACTATACGATGAGTATTACCTTTCCTCTCCATACGGTTGCTCAAATAATTCTCGTAACGAGGTCGCAGCGGCTCGTCGAAAAGTTGCTTGAGAGAGATGCTTCTTCACTACTTGGCAGTAAAGTGTTTCTACTTATGACGTGAAGTGATTCCAGTATGTTCTTACGACATTCGGGATATGATTATATAATATTATGAGACTTACGCGCTGCCTACTGCGCTACTGAGGCTTGTGATTACGTAACATTATACTTCGCGTAATATTCGAAGTGACGGTTGAGAATATCGGACAACCATTCTTTATTGTTATTTCAAACGTGCCTACGGCTACGCATAATTAATACGATTGACCTGTGCCTAGCGTTATCGACGAGATTGTCGCATGACATTATACTTTGAAAATACGAGGAAACGTGTGCATAAACAACTTATAATGCGGGACGTAAGTTCCTCTACTGCGTATTAGAGATTCGTTTCATTTATTGGTTTTCATCTCTTTCATTTTATTCGACTGTTCAGAGGGCGTGTTTGATATGTTTCCGAGGGGAAACGGTTTTCAGGAGTAGAATTTACATCCGTAATCGTGCCTTCCATTAGGAGTTTGGAAACTACACGTGCTAATGAAAAATAATTATCTTTTTTATTAAATACATTTTGCAACGCGAACTACTAGAAGCGAGCTACAATGAGACGGACTAGCAAAAACCCCACAGGAATAATCAATCAATTGTAGCCAGCAATGTTCTCATGGTGTTCGACAGCCTTCTAGAAAAGATGCGCTTGATTGCATCTCAACCAAATTTCGACAAATATAGTTGATGTGATATATAATTCTATTTTCAATATCTACATATTAAGTTATTAAAGGTTGTATAACTAACATGAATGTACAGTCGTATAATACAGACAGTTACATAAATTATATATTTCAATGAAACTTTTTCCACTAATGATTATATAACGTTAATTTTATTAATTTTGCAGGGCATATGGAAAGCAGTGGTCAAGTTGGTCAAACTTTCAATTTTCATTAAATTTTAGGTGACTCGATTCTTACTTTCAAAGAATTCTATATAATTTATCTATCTATATTATATATATTATCTATGTTATCTATACTATCTATTATATCTATATATTATATACATAGAGAATAAAACTCTATTAACTTAAAAAAAAAATATTTCTAATTCCAAGTCTTTTTGCTCACCCTTGGACGTTCCTGAGTATATCAATGCGCTAATTTCAGGACATTCTTCTTAATCGGGGAAGATTCATGCCCTACTGTGGATCATTTTTCGCCTACTAATCTTGATTTCGATTTTCACGATGGCAATTAGTTCGCCAGGCTACCGAAGGCTTTTAATAGCGCAACACCTGCAAACATTTTCAGATCGCAAGGATTCTCGCGTGCATAACGATAAAAAGAAATATTAAAAAAAAAAAGGTATTCGTTTGGGAAAATATTTCACAATGTATTAAATATGTAAAGATAGTCGATATCCGAAAAAATTCAAAAAGGATATTAAGGATTTAGATTTACATTTGTATTGTTTTCATTGTTGTCTTAGTTCGATTGCGATATCTCCGATTTTATTTTCACGAAACTCCGTTTACAGTTTTTATAAATTTGTATGTATTTAACAATACAATTAAGCGAGTGTTCGTCTTTGCCTCAATGTATTTCAGTAATTCTTTGTCTTCTTTGTAATTATTTTTCACGAACTCGTTTATCTGAAACAAATTACTCTCGTGTATTTCGCAAGTATGTATAATGTAACTAAGTTACAGCGAACTCCGAAAAATAGCGTGTCGGGTAAGTAACTAAAAAAGTTCGTGCGGTTTTCGGTAGTATTCGCTGTGATGATTTATTTTATTTTATTTTGTAGTGGTGTGCAGAACTAAATATTTTATGTGCGTCATGAAGTACAGATACGCGTCAGTCAATCGGTGCGTTCTAACTTAATATTCACTCATTTTCTGTTGTTTAATTTCTATTATGAAAAACTGTTTTGGTTATCTGATATAACATTTATAGTGTTTACGTTACCTGATCAAGTTTTTCCTTGGAATATACATTGTTGATAACATCACCTAATGCATGCTGTATCTTGATTCCTCTACAAATGGAAAACGAATTATACACAATTAGTAAATAAAAAGACAGTATCTTGAATTAATAGGAAGCCGCTGTTACCTGGAAGTAATTTGATCCAAATTCGCTAAAATATAGTTAAATATTGGATCCTTGTTTGCATGTTTCGATACAGCTCCGGAATAGATTGTATAATCGTACGTGAAGTCATCTGCTAGTGAATCGTTTATTTTCAAATATCTGATGATGATATCAGGATCTTCAGAGCATGCCATGTAAAATAGAAACGCATCGTCCGAAGTCTTGATGTACATGTCCCTCATTTTGTTCCAGCTAGGTAAACTTGCGTTCGACATACCGTTACATAACGTCCATTCCTTCAGATTGGGCGGAATCCTGCGATACACGCGCAATAACGAGAACAATGATGCACATCTGTGTTACAATCAAATAATTCGTCAGACGTTGGAAATTCGTGACAAATAGAAAAATTTACTTGCGGCCTTCGGGGTCGTCGAGATATTCGATCAGTTTTGCAGTGGCCATTCTTCTGCACTGGGGGTGACCGAAGTGGCAAGCCCATTTCAAGGCTTCGACTCGCTTAAGCTTCGTAAAATCATCCTCGGTAGGACTTTCTTCGTATCCTACGTTCTCAACGAGACCGTTCACCATTTCGAACATAGATTCCTAATATTAATTTTGTATCAGTCCCCACATGTGACTCTTACCGGTCAAATTTATTGTTGTTTACCTTGAGATACTCGCCTCCTGGTATGTTAAAGACACCGATCACTTCGTTGAAAATAGCGAACATAGCACACCACGGTATATACTCCGTCTCCTTCTTCAGGTAAGCCGCGATATCCAGAAACGTGGTGAGGTTGAGTTGATTCGCCCTCAGAAGATGATACGCGTCATTAATCAACTGAGCCCGATTGAGCACGTGTATCTTCGTATAATCGTCTGACTGAAGGTAGTCCGAAATTTTTTTCCAATTCGTAGCATCGTAATTGACGAGGTAGTATCCTGCCGTACAATTAATTGATTTTATCGTTAAATTTTTTCCTCGATATTGTCCACTTTAAGATATATTAAGAAATATGCTCAAGTTTTTTTTTTTCAAGGCATAGAGGTAGAACGTATCAAAAACTGTTTAAATATACGAGGGCAGTCCGATAAGTACTTAGCCTACGAAAGAAAAACGAAAATTTTGGAAAAGTGGCGATTTATTTCTCAACATAGTCTCCTTTTAGCTCAATACACTTGACCCAGCGATGTTCCAACTTCTTTAACCCATCTGAAAAATACGTTTTCTCGAAAGTAGGCCTCCGTGGCGGCGATGACCTCCTCATTTGGCCAAATTGGTCAAATTGGACTACGAACTGCTGCCCCATCCACCATATTCTCCAGATTTGGCCCTGTGCGACTTTTTTTGTTTCCAAACTTGAAAAGTCACTCGCCGGGCAGAAATTTGAGTCGAATGAGGAGGTCGTCGCCGCCACGGAGGCCTTTGCAGACTTCGAGAAAACGTATTTTTCAGATGGGTTAAAGAAGTTGGAACATCGCTGGGTCAAGTGTATCGAGCTAAAAGGAGACTATGTTGAGAAATAAATCGCCACTTTTCCAAAATTTTCGTTTTTCTTTTGTAGGCTAAGTACTTATCGGACCGCCCTCGTAGTGGACATTATTTTCACATATGCTGTTGCACGTAATATAATCGTTTTTTAAGTGTGTTATATAATTACTAGCTATCGTATTATCAATGCTTACCCATCTGTTGTAAGTTTACTATGATCCAGTCATTTGGGTCAATTCCGCTAATAGTTATATTTTCATCTTGCGGTCTCAGCCAATGAGTGGGCACAGTGTTAAAGAAGTCAGGACTCGATTGTGTAGCAAAAGTTATAGGTATCCACCATTTATCTCCGTCAATTGTTTCCTTTTCGTCGGTTTCCATATCAGGACGGAAATGTTCTTGCTTCAGTATTACCTCGCCAGTGTCATAGTTTCGGATCACGTGTAACACAGGATAATGCCTTTGTGTTGTCCAGGTATCCATTACGTCTTTTAATATGTAGTCATTGTGCGGAACGTCTGATTCATCTAGAGCTGCTTGTAAGGCGTTCCATAAATCGTCGGAAGTAGCCGAACTGAACTGGCTAAATTGTGAAATATAATACTTATTGTAAATTCGGCTTATAAATTCAAAATGGAGATTTTTCACTGACGTTACATGTAAGACGCGCAGTATATTTTCGTTTTTTTTTTATTTTTTCTGTTCTATATTAATCATATAATACGTATATTATTATATGTATATTACTTTTACTGTATATATATATACAAGACAGGAAAAAAGTCTGCTAAACTTACTGGGTATTTAAATATCTTATAAGACCGTTCCGGAACACTTGGTCAGTGATAATATGTTGCAACATCCGCAAGATAACAGGAGCTGCAATAATTAATATTATACAGTTTTATTAATTCACATGATAAGAAATGAGAAGAATAGTATATTATAGTATGTTATGTCATTTACAAATTCACGAACGTTGATTTAATTACTTATCGTTAATCATATTAATCGTACCTTTGCGGTAACTGATGAGTGTAAAGAGCGACTTAATTTCGTCAGGACTATTGACTTTTGCTGTAACAGGCATCACTTGCTTAGCAACGTCGAAATGAAAAGCGCTATGCTGTTTTTCGACCACAAAGAGGTCCATCATTCGCCAATCTTCGAACATCTAGAATAACCGGCGGAATCTATCAGATGTTCGATTTAAAACGACGTTGACACTAATAATATTATTTAGGAAAATCTATTTAAATGTTAAACAATTTGCTCTGTCTCGAAACAAAGAACAATTAAGATCAGTAATCATTAACGGAATGTTTTGACGCATTAATAAAAATTTCCTCAATAATTCATATAAAGATAGAAAGCCAACCATATTGAGAATATAGGATTCGAAGAAAGATGCAAATCCTTCGTTTAACCATACGTAGGTCCACCATAACGGGCTGACTACATTGCTAAACCACTGATGGGCCATTTCGTGCGCCACTACCACCGCTACCCAATGCTTATGTTTTGTGGTATCTTTTGCTTCATTATACGTGAAATCGTTTTCTCTAAAAATTAGAGAAGCACCTATTATATATTCTATATAATAAACATAATAAAATTATTAAGTATTTACATTATGTAGAAATAATACTATAAATATATACGAATGATAAGTATATACATATGCGACTGTAAGTGTCGTCGTGTAAACAACAAATATTCATTTGTTATTGATTGATTTCGTAATATTACGTGTAAATGATGAGTCCCCAATTCTCCATGGCACCGGTTAAGAAATCCGGCGATGATACGTGGTCCATTTTTGGAACTTTGTCGGTACTATTGGTGTACTGCGTCAACAGTTTTTCACTTCGCTCGGCAATCTGTTGCGCGAATGCTGAGTGCGGCGCTAATTGCGATCTAGACCACATGTTGACGGTTCCGTCTGCGTTAGGAACGCGAACATAATCGTACAACACTACGAACGCCACGAGATACGTGGACATGACGGGAGTCGTGTCGAAATGCGTCCATATCATGCCGTCTTCGTCGCTTCCTTCCGAATGCACCCGCGCCGGCATATTTGACAGAGCTGTGTAGTTTCGATGATGCTTTATGGAGATGTTGAAGGTGGCCTTTAATGCCGGCTCGTCCCAGCATGGGAATGCTCGACGCGCCGAGGTCGCCTCGAAGAGCGTTACAGCTATCCACCTATCACATTTCCACGTTATACCTCCGATAACGATATATTTTCGGCTAATCGTTCAAACACAAATGTTAAAGGTTTGAAAATGCGGTTTATGGACGTTCGGGCGATGATAATGTGATATGTCGCAGCCTGGCCGCGACGTGTATCACTCGACGCGCTCGAGTGAGGCCGATTAAATTTTGCGGGTGTACGCGTACCATTTCCTATTGGATGTTTGCTACCTCGATTCTAACGAGATAAAATTGGGCGCATCTATATCTAGCGTATAATAGTCTTGAAAAATTAATTCCTTACCTAGACTCGTCTTGACATCGAACGTGTCTTCCTGACTAGTTTAAGGAATCGCCGGGGAGGATAAATAATGTAATGTTTGTTCGTTTAAAGTGCAGTTCTTTAGGATGAAAGGAAGAAGGGAAATATGTTTTTGAGGTAATTTTGCCTTGGGATTAGATGCGAATGGTATGAATGATATAAATAACATTCGATTAGGAAGAATATCTTCAAACTGCGACGATTACTCACACTGTGTCATTCTGCTCGTTTTGATACGACGTTCTAAAGAAGCCCTCCAAATCGTCATTCAGAATGCCAACGAACTTTATATTTAGAGTATAATGTCCGGGTGGTAGCTCGTCGTCAAAATCGAGGACCAACATTTGCGTTACGTTTCGTAGATCATGCTCTCTCGGTGTGTAAACGACACCTTCACTGTCGACCAACGACGTCGCATCCTCGTCTATTGTCAACTGCAATGCGTGCAAACGTATGTCTCGTGTCACGCGACAGATCACGATGTCAACATTTATCTCGCCATTGAAAGTGAAATTATCCTCCACGATATGCGGTATCAACTTGATGTTGTAGTGAACTGGTGTCACATTGTCCGGCAAACGGTAATTAACCTTTGCGGTCTGCGAATCGTTTCCCGAATCATCGTCAAGGGGAAGAGCAGTCGCAACGACGAATGTTAGCGCAATCTTGAACAGTAGTCTCAGGAATGTCATGCCAATTCAAATCCGTATCATTTGTGCACGAATGTTTCCTTGTTGAAGAAAAAGTCAATTTGAAGAAAGTGCTTTACGTATTCTAACGTTTTTTCTTAAAACTAGTGTGTCTAAAAGGGACAAAGTTTGTACACGATCAGTGTCAATCTTATGCAGCCATCATGATTTTATTTATCACAGGGTCGATGAGAGCCCAAATCGCAGGTATTTTCGTGTAAGTACAGATAATGCATTTCAATACCTAACATATGTAGATACGTGGCCAATTTTTGCATTTTCTATGATGCTTCCAAAACGAGCTAGTACTCATTTTAAAGTATCTACAGTCGTTGAATTTTTCAACTTGTCATCTCCTTTAATGATAAAACTAAAACTAAAAGTTAAGACCGGATTTTATTCAACTTTGTGATTCAGCCTGTCATTGATACTTTTAGATTCGTTTAAACGCGCAGCAAAAAGCATTTCCCATATTTCCTTTTCTATAATTAATTTGGTTTTCCGATTTTCGAATGAAAGCTGACAAGAGATGATATACTAAAATAATCCGATACGTTTCTGACAAAGGGAGGAAACAGCGTATATTATAAATTTATTCTCGGTTTTATTATTTTAACTCGATCGGCTCCGCGTGTTAGCGATATATTCAAGGTATCCGGAAAGAGTTTTGGCCATACGATTATCGAGAGTATGGCGAAATGTCGGAGAATGTCGAAAGCATGATGAGATAATTCTCGTTCTATTTTTAGCCCTTCGTTGTAGTAAGGCTACACGTTGAGTATTACCTTTCTTCTCTGTACGATTGCTTGAATAATTCCCGTAATGAGGCCGCGCCGAATTGTTGTAGAAATTGTTAGAGAGAGGTTGCTTCCTTCTTACTACCCTGCAGTAAAGTGCCTCTACTTACGACTTCCATTCCAATTTTCAATTTATGATATTCGATAATGATTATATAATATTATACTTCGCATTATATTCGGTGTGACGGTTGGGAAACATCGGATGATCGTCTTTTATTGTTATTATACACGTGCCTACGGCGGTGAATATTTAATATGATTAACCTGCGCCCCGCATTATTAAGTTACGTCAGACATTATACTTTGAAAATACACGGAAACGTCTGAAGTAAATAATTTCGTCGAGGATATGAGATGTAAAAGTCCTATATTGCGTTATATATAAATCAAATTGTACGTATGTGTATATACAATAAATACGTATCTACGACGATAAATACGCCATATAAATGACGAGTAATCATTTTCTATTTATTGATATTTCGTTGCGTCACTTTTAGATGATAAGTCTCCCAATCTCTTTGGTACCGGCTGGAAATTCCGGAGATGATACGTAGCCCATTTTTGAAACCTTGTTACTGTTGGTGTATTTGAGTTAACAGCTTTCAACTTCGCCGGGCAATCTGTTGCGCGAATGTTGAGTGCGGCGCCAATTGCAATCTGGATCACATGGTGACGGTCTCGTCTGCGTTAGGAAGGAACGCAAACATAATCGGACGTCACGAACGCCACGAGATAAGTAGACGGGAATCGTGTCAAAGTGCGTCCATATCATGTCGTTTTTGTCATTTTAATCATCCAAATGTATCCGCACTGGTATATTTGACGGAGCCCTGTAGTTTCGATGACACTTTATAGAGGTGTTGAAGGTGGCTTTTAACGCCGGCTCGTCCCAGCATGGGAACGCTCGACGCGCCGAGGTCGCCTCGAAATTCATTACGTCTGTCTACCTACTAACACATTTCAACGACACGCTTCCGATAACGATACGTTTTTGGTTGGTCGTTAGAACGATGGAAGTGATAGGGTTTGGAAAATGCGCGAATGCGGTTTATGGACGTTCGAACGATGGAAACGCGATATTTCGCAGTCTGGTCGTCAACGTGTCACTCGACATGCTCGAGTGAAGCTGACGAAATTTCGCGGATGTATCATTCACGTACCATCCCCTTTTGGACGTTTGTTACCTCGATTCTATTGAGACAATATTGGACGCAATTATATATCTATCGTAGAGAGTTTTGGAAAATTAATTTTTTGCCACACTTACTTTGACATTAAACATATTCTTCCAATTAGGTTCAAAAATCGCGCGGGGAGGATGAATGGAATAATGTTTGTTCGTTCAAACACTACAGGTTTCTGGGATGGTACAGGAGGAGAGGGAAGAAAGGAAGTAACCTTTTTGACACCATTTTGTCCTGGGATTAAGTAGTAATAATATGAAATAATATAATTCAGTAAGCACCCACCAACAGTAACGTAACATCAATGTTACAATTTCTCACTCAACAGTTGAAGTGCATTATAACATATTTTGTATACAAGGTTTACCAAATGTATAGAAACCCCTTAATATTTCGAAAACTACGCATTTTCGAAAAAAATGTCCCATACAAAAGTTGTACGAAATTTTGCGTTAGTGCGTATAAAATGATAAAAGACTTTTTACTTTTTTACTTAGTTTAACTCGCTCTATCTTCGCACGAGTGATTGACAGAAAAAATTTCAGACACCTTGTAAATAATATCATACTTCGCATAATATTCGATATGACGATCAAGAACATCAAATGGTCATCCTTCATTGTTATTTCATACGTGCAATGGCGATGAATAATTAATATAATTAACTTGCGTTCCGCATTACTAAGAAACGATTATAGCAGACATTGAAAGCACATGGAAACGTATAAAGTAAACAAGTTTGGCTGTGATGTGAAATATAAAGTCTTCTATTGTGGCTTATAAATTTGTCTCACTTCTTCAGTTTCATTTCTTCTCTTTATTCGACTGTCCAGAAAATACGTTTGATACGTTTTTCGTGAGGAAACAGGATCGGTCAAACGAAAGTGGAATTTACATCCCCAATTGTGTCTTTCATCGAATCTGGAAACTACACGCGCTAATGGAAAAGAATCATCTATTTTATTAAATACATTTTACAACGTGGAGGACTACAACCGTACGAACTTATAAAGTGTCTGCGGGAATAATCAATCGATTGTGCGAGCGACGTTTTCACGGCATCCGACAGCCTCCTATAAAAACGTCACGCAAATATCACAACTCGATTGTATCTCAATCAAAACTTGACGACAAGCGTTAAGGTAATGCATATTTTTGTTATAAATATCTATATGTTAAATATATGAGCTATATCGTGTAGTTGGTATAAATAGCATGTATTTACAATCGTATCATATACAATTACGTTATTATATCATAAAATTTTCATATTAAAACTTTTAACTATGATTATACGGTGTGAATTTGTTTACTCTAGCGGTGTGCAAAATAGACTTGATCTCTGAACCGTGACTCGTCGGCAAATGTGTCGTGACAATGTCTCGGCCAACATCGTCCCGAAAGTGTCTTTTATTTCGCCTGAAAGCGTGTACCACGTGTGTTCCGTAGCCGTAACTTGAAGTCGCAACTGATATGAGGTCGATAAAGTGTGATACATCCGCGAGATATTTCACCTTCCTCTCGCTCGACACCGGAATCACGTGTGACGAATGTCTTTGCGACCGAATCGTTCTCGGTGCGGTCGAGAGGGTCAGTACGATCGCGAGAACTCGACAGGTTGATCGGTCGAGGACGTTGCAACGCGACGGAGAAATTGCACGCATGTGTGCGCACGCGAGGTATACAATCTGATGTTATATGATGTTTAATAGAACCGTGAGATCAGCATTGAAATCATTACGAGGAACGTCATCGCTGTGAAGGAAGTTGCGGAGTTTTCATGGTAATTATCAGTCAGCCACTTGGAGACCTTATCCTGGGATTCCTCGATCCAATCAATATTATTTCTTCCTTTATTCATTCCATTGAAATTAACATTACGATTGTCGAGTACGTCCTTATGCCGCAGTACAAAAAGAACCAGCTGAAACACAAAAATTCCTATGTCAGTCACTTTCATCGACATCGCTGATAAACCGGTGGGAGGGGGGAGATCGGCGTTATTGTATATCTAAAATTACGACGCGCAGTTGACGATGATAGAGTCGCCTACATTTACAGGATCCAATATTTCCTACCTCGCTTGATTGCGAAACATCTAATCAATCCACTCTCAGATAAGATAAAGCCGCGATCAAGGACGAGATAGGCACTGTAATTCTAATTACTGAAATTTTATCATATAAAAGATATGTTATCGCGTTCCGGTATCCACATATGGCGTTCGATTACGCAGCTCTTTAGAAAAAAAAAAATACACTGGAGACAAAGTAAAACTGATAATATCATCGCGTTTGCGATGAACGTTTTTTCATCGAACGAATAACATTATACGACGATGCAAATCAAATTGCGCCGTATGTGGTCGAGTTTGATTCAGTGGCCGGGGGGAAGAGGAGGACAATTAAATTCGATCGATCTTTTCCGGATGCGCGGTGCAACCGAAACTATTCTGTAAAGGTGCAGCAAATTATAAATGATCATATTTTACCTGTCCGTATTGCTCGTGGTTGATGATCCTAGTGGAAAGATTATTGAGGTGTGCGGTCATTTTCTCCCTGTTGTTATCCCTGAAGAAATCACAATAATTTTTAAATCTCTCCGTCGTAGCGTCATAACGGCAAAGTGAAGTGGTGCGCAGAAAGCAACTTACTTTTCTAGGATCTGGTCGATATTTTCGTTTAGGAAGTTTATGATTATGTCGAAGGATCCAGCGTTATTCATGCATATCGCGTTCAACGTCTTGAAGATGTCCATATTATCTCTCTTGAGCGATTCTTCGAGGAAGATCCGTAAGATCTTATTAGATTGAGAGCATCCGAGACCGTTCAGGATCATCTTTTTCTCGTCTTCGGCGGCACCTTCATATTTATTCAGAGTCTTGTTCCATGTATTCTGGTCTGCGTGTCGCAGTCCCGCGCAAAGGACTCCTTCTCGCATATCTGTCGGCACTCTACGGCAAGAAAAAAATCAGTAATTGCCGTAAGTATCGGGCAATCACAATGATCCCGACAGATTGCAAATTTTTCTTCATCGGTTTTTTGTTTGTTTTTCTCTTTATCCGTTTTTTATTATCTTTTTTGTAAGAAAATTTCGTCGGCCAATACCGTTTTATCGTTACTCGCTGTGAGCGTGATGTGATAGTAATTACACTAAAAAACCAGTTTAATTGGATTAATCTGAAAATGGGCAACCATGTTTTGGTTGGAGAAAATGGAATTTTTCTTAAATTTTAGAGTATTGATTTAAAAAATTTTAAATTTTATTAAAATATTCCCTATCAAATATAATTATCTTTTTAAGCCTATCTTGTTTGCTTATATTAAAATCTCCTGATATAGTTTGCCCTCAAATAAATAAAAATTATTTCAAATAATCAAATAAAATTAACTTAAAAAATAATTAGATTTGATAGGGAATATTTTAATAAATACGAATACAATTTTGAATTCTTTAAATAAATAGTTTAAAATTAAAACAGAAATTCTGTTTCTTTTAACCAAATAAAAATGCGTTTAGTTATCCATTTTCAGGTTCATCCAATCATAATTGGTTTTTCAATGTAACGAACTCATCTGATTACGACCAGTTTTCAGAAACTTACTTGTTCTCGTCTTCCAGCCAATTTTTCAGCTGCTCATCGGCGTATTTCTGGCAGGCTTTGTGTCCGTACCTACAAGCCGTAGTGAGCGCAAATTCTCTGCTAATTTTCAAGATATCCGTATTATTTGTCGGCACGTCATTGAGTCCAACATTCTCCACAAATTTGTTTATCCTCTGAACTATGTATTTCTGAAAAGATTCGGCAAAGCTTCAGAGTCAGGTCTCAGACTTTCTCACACAGATCTCTTATCTCGCGACCCGGTGCAGCAACGAAAACAACAATGGCGTTTACATACACCCGCACTTGTATTCAACCAACCTGTAAGATGTCGTAGTTCTCCATATTCTGCAACATGCGGTCCATATAATCAAAAGATCTGGCAGCCGCATACCATGGAATGTAATCGATTTCTCTTTCGAGATAGAGGGTGAACTGCAACGCCACGTCGTAACTCAAATATCCTCCGCGCGCGAGATTCAGCGAATCGTCGATCAACTGGGCGCGACTGACTGGAAGGATGTGCGTGTAATTGTCCGAGTTCAAGAGTGTCGCCAAAGTTTCCCAGTTAGTATCATCGTAGTTCACGCGGTAATATCCTGCAAGGGAGTATCGATATTTTTAGCTGGCGTTCGATCGTTATCCTCTTCGCGATGAATCCACGTTTACACAAGTGGCACGATAGTTGCAAAAACCATGTGCAAATCATTGTGAGATTTTTGGCATAGGGTTTTCATAAAATTTTACTGCGTGTATACACGTGCATGAAACATCAATTGCGGACCAAGGAACTATGTGCGCGTGTCACTGTATAAACAATTCGAGGGTGTCTCTTAATAAGTGAAACGTGTGTAAAGTCTATTTGTCTCGAAGCGACTGACAAAAATCTTCGACGTATTATTACTCATCACTCATCAAGGGAATCTGAGATGTAACGTTAATGTCGGTACAATCAAGTTGATTAACGTCACGTTGACAGTGAGAATTGCACAGCAACGTCATAAAGTAGGCATACCTGTCTGAAGATTATTGAAAATCCACCATTTTTTTGTTTTCAGGCCTTTGATCGTAAGCGTTGTCGAGTTTCCATCTTTCTCTACTTTGTTGTCCATCCATTCCTTTGCCGAGGTGTCATTACTTTTTATTGAGTCATCCGTGACATAGTTAATTGGTATGTACCATAACGGTTTTTTTGCTTTCTCCCAAGGTCTTTCTCTCGTCAAGAAGAATCGCTCCTGTTTCAATGTTATATCGTCGTTATTTGCGTTTCTTTCGACTGTTACAACAGGATATCCTTCTTGATCGACCCAAGTTGCCATGATGTCGGCAACACTGGCTGGTAATACGGGTGCGTCTTTCTTTCCAAGTGTGTCATTCATGGCTTTGAAGAGCTTCTCAGGTGTAACAGATGTGAAGTGGCTGCAATTATAAATTAATATAATTTTTTTATTATTTCAACAAATATATATATATATGTATGTGTGTGTGTATGTTTCTTTTATTAAAATGTAAATAAACATCGACGTGACTTGTGATAAAAAAATAAACATTATTTGACTAATGCGCTCGAGAGCATGAAGTATACATATTATATAAAAAATTGAAAAATATTTACGGAAGAGAATATTATAAATATAATTATTGAGAGGAAAATTTGTTATATCTATATAAAAAACTGAAAAATATTTACGGAAGAGAATATTATAAATATAATTATTGAGAGGAAAATTTGTTATATCTTTAGAAAACAGATTTTTATAGAAGTATATGATAAATATGCAATAATAATAATAATAAATATATGATAAATATATAATAATACATATGTATAAAATGTAATAATACGTATGTATAAAAATGTAATAATAACGTATGACTTACTTCTCTTTCAGATACTTTTGGAGTCCCTCTTTAAAATAATCTTCTGTCATGAAGTGTTGCATCATACGAATAACAGAAGCAGCTACGAAGATAAAATAGTACGTTAAGATGCTGACTATTAATTTCTCTTATATTGCCATAATTAACAGAGAAGCTGGCATACCTTTCTTGTAGGCAATGTTGTCGAACAATTTATTAATATCTTCATTACGCCCCACGTCCTGATTCATCTTACGAGTGTAGATAGTTCCGTCGCTGACGAATGCAGACTCTTGCAGATTTTTAACGACAAATTGTTCCATAAGACGCCAAGGTATCTCCTGTAAATTAATATTAAGTTTAATTGACGGTTCTGTTATCTATTAAGTTATTACGATTGTTAAAAGTGTATCATTTCATTTAATGACGACGCGACTCTTCGCAATTTTGAACCGAATTCTGCGGTAAAACAAATCGATCATAAAATTGATGCTATTATCAGTCGCGTCTGTTATTAATATAAATTCATTCTTGTTTTAGGTACATTCTTTTTTTAATTAATATGCTTAGGCATGATTCAGAATTAAATATATTTCTAATATAAGTTTCAACTATAGTTAAACACATACACACAGATGACTTTTAACCAATAAAATTTTGTTAAACGAAAACTGCTTTCAGAAAGATTGTACAATTCTATATAAACTTTCACCAGAACTGATAATTGATCAGTATTTAGCAGTATATGTTTTCATAATTACTTTTTCAGCTTCATTAACACTCTCAGTGGTAAAATATTGGAAGAAAGTGGCAAAGCCTTCGTTTAGCCAGATATAATTCCACCACTCAGGAGTCACCAAATTACCAAACCACTGATGAGAAAACTCATGAGATATCACTTTTGCTATATCGTGCTTAGCTTGCGTGGTGGTAACGTTTGCCGTGTAGAGAAGAGCAGATTCCCTTAAAAATAAGTAGAATGTTTTGTATTGAAGCGATAATAAGATTATCATACATATTCAACGATAATAAGTGCTAACGTAGATAAATGTTAAATGTAGATTAGATTCATGATTTATTAAAGAACGATGATAATGGTTCATGAATTCACGGCAAATAATAAAAATGAAAAAAATTTTCAGGTATCATATAAAATTGATTAACGATCGGATGCATCACGAGTATTTTGAATAGCAGCGAAGTGTGTAACAATTTCAAACCTGTCAAGTAGCTTCGGTCTGTAATAATCGCGATAAGAGTCGAGATATGTCAACGCTTGAACTTTGATCGTTCCATGATATCGAGATCTCTAGTATTACCTGTACGTCACCAGACCCCAATTCTCCATGGCGCCCGCTGCAAACTGAGGGATGCTAATTTGATCCATCTTCGCCATATTCATCGACGGGTCGTTTTCCTTAGATTTGTAGTATTTATATCCAGTGAATTCTTCCAAGTTGTCCAATACATTTCTTCCGTACTGAACGGCATACTCCGCGCTGTCAATTACATTGGGCCTCGTCCATACGGCAAAATTCGTATCTTTACTATGTATCTTATTTTGAAATTTTGAGACTACAAATGCCACGAGGTAAGTGGACATTATTGGTGTCTGTTCAAATTCCGTTGTTCTTATTTTTGTGTCCTTGTTCACCTGGCCACTACCCGACTTCATATTCATATTTGAGATTGCTGAATAATCCTCCGGATTTTTAATAGTGATGTCGAATGTTGCTTTTATTGCAGGTTCATCCCAGCAAGGAAAAGCTAGTCTTGCGCCTACCGGCTCAAAATGGGTCGTTGCAAGCCATCTATAATATATGGAAAAGATTATATTAACGCAAGGGATTTTCTACATTAGGCAATCGTGACTATTGAAATTGTCTAGTTGATTTCGAGAAGAATGTTTGCTTCGATTTTGGTAAAAATAAGTTAATACCACTATGCCAAGTAGAATTATGTCTATTATATTAAAAGCGCCATGAGAGCTGTGCATTTCGCGACAATTTTTAAAAAATCTACGTAAAAAACAGAATGCTACCAACTTTCACTATAAAAAAATTGGATAATTTCTATAATTTACTTGCCGAGTAATTATTCATTTTAAACTATCGACTCGACTGTTCTAAGTAAAACTAACGGTGTAAGATATTTCTTAAATTATTGTAAATGAATGGTACAAAGATATACTATTGTTAAGTTTTCTATTCTTGCATAAATCTAGTGTGTAAATTTCTTTGCCAAGGATTTTAACGGGAATATAGTTATACTGTTGTCTACTTACTGTATGGTTTTCGAATCGTTGTAACTACTTCTGTAGAATCCACGTAAATTATCGTTCAATGTTCCATTATATTTCATAACCAACTTATAAGGTCCGGATTTGCCAGGAATTTTTTCTTCAAACGTTAGTATCAGGAAGTCATTCGGATTACTTGGATGTTGAATTTTTGCATTTACAGTTTTGGGTTTTGAGTTGTCATTGCCGTCTTTGCCATTGCCGTCGTCGCCTTTGTTGTCTTCGCCTCCGTCATCGTAATTCTTGTTTTTTTCGTCGTTTTTTAATGTATATTTCAAATGGGCGTCAAGAATAGTCAGGTTTTCGCTGTGTAATTTTATATTTTGTATCTCATTCTCAATTTCAAGTGTGATTGTAATATCTCCTTCGAAAGTAAACTGTTTTTCTTCTTTGGCTTCATCGAAGAATGTTTGCAATGTGATTTGATAGTTTTTAGGTGTTACACCATCATCAGGCAACTTAATGTAACTTGAGTCGATATTATTATTGAAGATTTCTGGTTCTACATCCTCGAAAATGGGATCGCGTGCCCAGCAAGTCGCCAAGGCTAGCACCAATGGCAGCAGGAATCTCACAGTCGACATTGTAGCTCCTTCTGTGAGCGGAAAAAGAACTTTGTGCGAACACTGATCCACCTTACTGTTCCTATTACGTAATAGAAGTAAGACATGATTATGAGCAGCCGCAAAAGTACATCCAACTTCGTGATATTATTGTGCGAATAATCTAGGAAAACGTAAGTTTTAGGAAAACACCGTAGAAATAATTTTCATTGATTCTTCAGAAAACACAAGAACGTTCCAGTCAATACGGAGGCAACAATCTTGAATCTAACGGTTCTTTCGCTTTCGCATGAAGTGAGCGATCAACAATGACAAAATAAAATCAGGTTCAGGGAAGTTGCGTCGACTTTGATATGTTACGCGCTACGAGGGAAGTACAGTTTCACTAACAATACGCTTGCATGTTGCGAAGATTAATCGAATTTCCTTTTAAATAGATCAGCTTATGCTTCACACGGATTATACGTAGCAATACATGTAATTTCTTCAAGCGACGATACATAATAATTGTTACTTCAATTTGTCTAATTATCCAGAATCTGCTGAAAAGGAGTCGAATTATCTAGAATCTGCTGAAAAAAAATCGATAAATGCCGAAACCGAGCACACCATGATGAGCAATGATCAAAGAGAAGAAATCTCTGGATACGTAACGGTATTATTTCGAAAATTCCGCACGTTGGCCCGAAGCTTTTCTAAACTTTCACACAAACTCGACTTTAATGCAATTGATAGTCCTGATAACGTACCTTGGAGCTAATCGAAGATGAAAAACCGAACGGGTCGATGCCTCGTTGACCGCGGAGGCAGGATTTATTGAGAACCTGCCCGGTCAAAATCCCGCGACTTATAAGGCAGCGGCAGTGGGACGTATCGTGAAAAATATGTCGCTGTCTCCTCTAATCTTATCGCGACTGGTCTGTCGGTGCAGAAGGTACTATACTCTTCGAGGGATGATCGGTAAGTGGTCTATTCCGATGGCGACTCGCAAAATTTCCCCGACAATTTTAACATCGACTGTGCTGATAATGTGTGATAACCGTGATACAATGGTATCCAACCAATCGATGCTAGGCTTGATATCGCCAAATCCACCGAGATCCCACTTCTTTTATCGTCGATATCTGACAGCTCGTGACGAGTAATATTGCTTAAGCAATACTCGGCATTCTATAACTCGAGTCTGCGAAATCGATTATCTCACGAGTTTTTAATTCTTCTCATTGTCGAATCGACGCCGTCTAAGTGAAACTTCGTGTTAATCTAGAAACATATGTTTAACTCGCCAACGCGTCATTCCTTTCTGGCTTTTTGTCTCCTTGAGTTGCACCCAAGCATCGAGAATTGCGCAATATTAAGCATTTTGACCATTCCGAAAAGTTACAGATGAATTTTGGAAGGAACACCTTTTGGGAGAAGCATTTTTAGTTTCGGCACATGATACATATGGCATACGATATGCATAGATGTTTGTTAACATTTCCAATGTAAAACGACGCAACGACTGTGGTTTGAAGCATTCATCGAGAGGGAGAAATACCGTTTTTCAGTATGCGTCTCATAAACATATATATTATGTGGTTACCTCATACATAAAAATATTCGCGGACACCAAGATTTTCTTATTAATTGTTTTCGTCATTATCTATGATATATTTACGCCGACAGCGATAAAAATCAATTTAATCTTACAGAATATTATCGACGGGACGAATAAGCGTGATATGATTCATTGTTGAATCCAAGAAATGTTGTTTAACTTGAGCGTAAAGGTTTATCGTTCTACGGTTTTATCGTATTACATATGTACTTCTTTGTGGCGTTATTGAAGCGTTAGTACGGAAGAACTTTTCTACGGAAACTTCTACGGAAATTTATTAAAGGAGACGCAAGAGATGGTTTATCAGTAATTATATCTGATTAAGATATAGAAAATACGTCACGAATGACTCAAGCGAGTAACTTAATTTATATTAGGACGATATATGGTCAACGAACATCTTCCACTTGGTTTCTCTTGCAATAATTAATTTCGTAACATTCTACTTGCTGAATACTGAAAATCGTTCAAAAAACGCGTTGCCGTGATCACGGTTGTGACACGTGGTCCTGTCGCTGCGCTCTTCTCGTAAAATCTTTTCCGTTAATTAACACCGAATTTTGCCAGTGTGATTAATTTTTCATAATCGACTCCAGTACGTGCGACCGTTTGTGAAGTATAGATTATCATATGCTAGATATCTCTATCTGTTTTGCAAAATCGTGTTGTACGTGAGTGATAAATATCGATTAATAAGGTTACATAAGAAACGGCCGACAATATGCATTCGACTCGAGTTAAACGATTGGGAGTACAAAGTATTCGTAAGGTACACGCAGTCGTAAATTTTCGTCTTTTTCAATTTTTGTAAACAATTCGCAGAATATTTCTTACGTTCGTTGTTTCGGCATTCCGATTCAGCCGTTTTACCACAATTCAAGGCCATCGATCTGCAAAACTTTGTCGAGACTGCAGCAATCCTTCATCCATGTCCTTAAGTTCTTCGAAATCCTTGATCGTTCCGACGCAAAGTTGTGCATCGTCCACTTTATCAGGTATGTTGGAAGCGGCGGCAAGCTGCGGCAATACGGTTACGTAGCAAATGCCGTTTCCATAAGTGTCGACGAGACCATCTGAATTTTCATCTTCGACTTGTTAAAGTTGGAAAAATTGATATGTCAACTTCATCCGTACGTAGCTTATTGGAGCATTGCTTGCCCAGTTTTGCATTGATCCTTAAGGCGTCCAATTCGCATATATACATATACACACATATGCGTACACTTCAATTTTATCTTTAAATATGACTTATCCCGACAGGTGGATCCCGTGACGTGCGTATGCAAGCAAATACTGAGTCACTCCGATTTCGCTTTAATTGTATATTCATCGAAATATAGAGCTAAACCGTGTATATAAAAATCGTCGAAGTCTGCATCGTTGGATAACCGGGAACAATAGCTCCTCGGGTTTTTAGCGATTTCTGCGGAGTCATCATGCTGTTAGTCATGAACAATCATGGGTGAACGGTAAATCAACTCGGCCCTGGTTTCGATTAGACATCTAATGAGATAACATTTGTCGTACATTCAGGGCAATAATGATAAGGAATATCTGTGAAGAGAGAAACGTGGAAATGTGTTTCAGTCGTATTTATAGCGGTGAAAATAACTTACGCTGCATAATGATAATTTGCAGTATTGTTGAATATGGACTCTCCACTCATTATCGAAATGACTTATGGACTTATGAAAAACGTTAAAACGTCGTTATCTGCACAGTTATCTACATTCTATAATTGTCTATAAGTTATTATAAATATCCGGAGTAAGAACTTAATCTTATTCTTGATATAAATCAAGAATTAAAAGAAGAAATTATCGCGAAAAAAATCCCGCTTGTTTGTTACTGCAAACAATACTTAATTAACATTAAAAAGCTATCGAGGATTAATGACATATTGCGTTTTTACTAGATCGGTAAAAATGACAGGTTTCTGAAAAAATTGGTGAAAAAATGTGAGGGAAAAAGCGATTATTTATCTTTTATTATTATTATTCAACGTCCATTAAAAATATAAGACGCGCCGTTATAAGGCGACGCGTTTTATAATTTTTATAAAAAATTATAAAACAGTCACATTTTGACTGCTTCAGTAATTCTAATGTCAATACGCGTGATCGGATTGTTATGATATTTTCATTTCGATTTTCAATCTTTCTCGTTTCTTCCCAATGTTAAATTAAGCGCTTTATGCGCGGTTGGTCGACGCTGGCTGCCGGTTGATGACAGTGTTGAGGTTTTAGGCACAACTTGCTGGGATTTGCATGTAATTGCCGCAGGCTACATGTCTTGCCTTTAGGCTGCGTCGAGGTTTACCTACGTTCTATACACCTTGATATTGGAAGCCTAAGCGATGCCCTTCGTTTGATCGCAGTTCTGCACATGAGTTCCTTACAAACCTGTTTATGAGAAACTCGCGAAATAAATATTACCGGTAGCAAGATTTCAAATACCCTTTATATTTTACACGTTACAATGAAAAGATTATTACGATAATGAACTCAGAACTGCGATAAATCCGTCTGATATTAGCGGTAATTATCAACGAAATTATCACAGATTTTTTCACTTCGATTTAATCACATATAAACAATTTATATCACCGTCTTGTATTTTTCGCAGTCGTCGTAAGACGCAATTTTCTAATAATTAATTTATTTCTTGCGATTTATCGTTGCTTCACCGTTACGCCACGCTGTATATTTTCTGATTCAATGAAACATTTCAGGAGATGTGCGCCGAGAGATGTGCGCCGATCTCGTTGACGCTGCGATGAGGAGCTGGGTGCACAGTGTCTCGACCATAAGTAACAAGGGTAGATCGCGGTGAATGGAGAGCTATATGTATAATTGAAAGGCTGACACGGCTTGAAGGAAGTTGTAGTCGTGATTGGCCTGCATAATGAAGAAGCCCGAACGCCATTATACTCGGTGGCGAGCTTAAAGTTCCACGCACCTACCAGGTGGGTTACCTCCGTGACAATCCTGAAATATTGCCCCGCTGAGAAGCAATCCTTAAACTTACCGAGTTCGCTCAGCTTATCCTAGTCTTTGTGCGGATAAGATTTGGACTATGCGTGTGTGATTTTCTCCATCGCAAATTTGTCTTCGCGAAGCACTCCGAAACTGCATCGATGATGCGTGATGATGCGTGTTCACGACGAAACGAGGGTACGATTCGGTTTCAAATGGATGAAGTGGAAAAGGAGCGCAGCATGCGATTTGAATATNATATATATATATATATATTTCAGCTGCCATTGATACGCTCGCGAGCGTCTAA